TACAAATATGTGTCTAATTTAGCCTTTACTAAACAGTTCTTGTAGATTTGCCATGCAAAGTCCGCCGACAACAATTACTGTATGTAGAGTTAACTGTTCTCTATGCTCTCCACATGCTTCTGTGCTAAACATTGTGCCACGCGACTTTTAATACAAAAGGGGAATATCTCTAAAACGTTGACCCTGATCGATGCCAATAAACTTCTAATTGACTTTGATAAAAAAAAACTTGACCAAAATAAAAAAAAAGGAGTGGGAAACTTTGAAAGGGACGGGCGGGTCCATAAGGAGTTGTGGTATAAAATTTCATTGCAAAAGCTCAAACGCTTCTTGAGATATCGTTCGGAAACGAAAATATTACACTCAGACAGAATGTATGAATTTATGACGTTGACCTTGGAACTTTTGACCTTGGAACCTCAAAAATCAATAGGGATCTACTTTAGTCCATTTGGAGTTGTAATTTAAAACTTTATTGCAAAAGCTTAAAGGCTTCTTGAGATTTTTTCTGGAAACGAAAGTGTTAAATACAGACAGAAATACAGACAGACGGATGAACTGACAGACAGACCCAAATTAATATCTCCCACTTTTAGTGAAAGCGGGAAACAAAACAATAACTTTTATACACCTTTCATCTTCATGTTTTCGACTAGTTATAAGTACTTTTAAAATACATGAAATAAGTGCAGTTACATTTCTGGTCTTTCAGTAATTTATACATGAAATAGGTGCAATCAGGTATATCATATATTTCTGGTCATTCAAGATATAAATCCTTATCATTGAAGAAACTCATTGAAAACTTAAACTATCAGCTGATTCAAGTAAATGTGCATGCATATTCCATAGGTAACCCTGGCCATAAGAGAAAAATAAAGTCTCTTGAAGGACCTTTGAAGATGTCAGATTTTTTTTTCATTTTTGCACCTGAGATTCTTTGAATAACTGTCACCAACATCCTTAAGTCTGGTGGTTTAATTCCCCTTTTTGCTGGAGATATGATGCATTATCTCCCTTACTCCAAAGCAGTCAAGAATACACACTGAGCACTCTGAAAGAAGTTTTTTGTGTATATTTTGAAGCAGAATTTCATCATTAACAGACTAGGCCTGGCAGCCAATTTTGTATCCATTGAGAGTATATGCTTTGTTCTTCACAACAAACAAAAAAGAGTTCACAAGTCTGAGACAATTATGCAATTATTACATAACAATGTTGAATTTTACTCTCCAAAGAATGATATAATTCACAGAAATTGTTGAATATTAGGTTGATAATAAAATCTGCATCTGGTCAATTTATGTTCCAAATAAAGACTAGGTATTTGTCTATAAGCTGCTGTGTAGAAGTTTATCTAAAAGCTTTGTTGTAACACAGGGCAGTCTAAATAATATCAGCATCTAGGGAGGTTCTGGACAGTTCTGACACTCCATTAAACTGGCTTTGATGATAAGAAAATGGAGAAAATAATTCAGATGTAATTTATTGTTGTGATTTATGTAACTGACATTCTCTGCAGACACAAATTAGCCATGAAATTCCAATTGAACATGCATAATTATCCTCTTTTCATTGAATTGCTCAGGAATTCCAAAAGTGTTTGATGATTTTGCATGATTAATTCAAGATTACAGCTTTTTCTTTCACCAAATTTACATAAAAATTCAACATTTAGATTTCAAAATATAAACCTTAAATATTTTTTACAGTTTTAACACTTTTAAATGTAAAAAAAAAATGCAACACAGAGACTAGTATCAGGCCATCCTCCATGATTCTTGGAGGTGGGTGGGTGTACAAAAACTGCTGATAAAATTTATAGGAAGTGACATAAGAAGAACAGGGCACTTTATTAGCTATATTATGGTTATTCTGATATTTTAATTATGTAAATATGTCAAATTTCTTCAACACTTTAATTTGTAATTTATTAATATTTCAGTATATTAATATGCTTAACAAACCATGCTGAAATAAGCATCACTGGCTGGGACTTATTTTAAAAGTGAGGGTCAACACCTAGAATTAAGTAGTAAAATGACAAAAACATTCTCCGACAAACTAAAAAAAACATGAATTTCAGCTGTGAAAGCATGGAAAAAGTCCAGAGAACCATCACAGGCATGCCATGATGCTAAGTAACATTCTGCACTACACCTGTAATGCATGGTTAGGACTCAGAATAAGTATTCACTCTCAGGTTCTAACAGTATTTATACATTTTTTGGTTATAAGCTTCTTACTTGTGAAAAATTCTTAAAAAATTTTATTTGGGCATTACTTTTATTACACAAATTTCACTCATTTCATTATTTCTATTCCTCCACTGCAGTTAATACATGCATCACTTGAGGTGAATAAAATGAAAGTAAATCCAGTAAATCTGTAAAAATTAACACTCTGTTTTACTTTTTTACATTTTATCGCAGTTGTCGCTTATGTTGAAAACTCATTCGCAAACCTAGAATTAGGTTTTCCTTGAAAAAATCAGCCTAATACACTTTTACGGCAAAGTCTGTAGACACTAGCTATAATTGACTGCGGTCAGGCGGTGCACATAGTTTAAACTCATCTAAAATAAAAAAAAAAAAAAAACCCAACATTTTCTGACTTCTTTCTACATGTCAGATGAAAATCCTACTTTTTAAGTCATAATTTGAAGTTTTGAGGGTAAAACATGACATGCTGTTAGCATTTTACATAGAAATCTGTATAAATTAATGTCAATCTGACTTATAATTTGAAAACTGGGTGCTTCCACACAGAAAGTTCATAAAATGACATATTTAGTTGAAATATGCCTTTTAAAAATCAAAACTGTCATTAATCTGGATTTACATGATTTTACACAATCAACTTCAAGGTTTCACACAGGTAATTGTTTTCACTATATAATTCTATATAGAATAAAAAAAATCTTTAAAAATCAGGCCTTTGAATTCATGAAAAATTATTTAGCAGGAAGTGTTAAACGTAACCCGTCACATTAGCTGACACCAAAAAAAACAGGGTACGTACACGGCATTTTCTGATTTTTTTTCATCAGCAAACAGGAATACCCTCAAAACCACGTGTTTTCAATGTGTTTATAAACAGTGTGCACCCCAGGAAGTGGCCTCCCATGCCCTGAAAAAAATAGTTCCTGTCAAAAACCTTCAACATTTTACAAAGTACATAAAATATCCTATACACAGATACCAGAAATGTAAAAATAGAAGAAGGAAAAATATAAAATTTCTCACAACAAAAAAATATTTCTTTATTATGTATGGAACTACAATTACCGGTGTGATACCTTAAAGGTAAAGATACCTTTTCGTTATCTTCACCTTTTTCATTAAGAAAAAGCAGAGGTTGTAAAAGAAAGTTTATTCAGTTCCATAACATATAATCATCAGTAATCCTAATCACTACTAACCAGATACATATAACACCTTTTCCTATCTCTTATGACAATGTCATTCCAAACAAATTTCATGATTGAATTATCATTTGTTCTTCCATTATTCAGACAAAAATTTCCTTTGTTTTTCTGGCTATCACTCTGGTATTCAACACAGAGGTGATTATGTATTATTTGGGGGCTAATGTATGCTTCAGTTCTAAAGCTTGTTTCATTTAGAAGTAAAGAATCCTTTGACTTCTTGATAGGATATACTCTTTATTTTCAGAGTAAGAATTTTTTTTAATGTTTTTCCTTATTTAAAACTCTAACAATTCGGTTGAAGAGGCACAAATACTTTTGTAGCCATACTAATGAAGGCAAACAGATAAATGATGAAAAAAAAATTTGAGTACAAAATGAATCAAAAATGATAAAAGTAATAAATACAGTGAAATCACTGATGATTTGACAGTAAATGTTTTACTTAGATTTTAGGATTGGTTTTGTAACAATTTTTTTAAATTGTTCCGATAAACGTCTGTCCTCTGAATCTGGCTGTAATTATAAAAAGCAGCTACTTTTAGAAAAATTAGTTTTCAAACATGTCTTAAAATGTTTCTCTTGTTTTCTATCCACCCAGGGAAAATACACACTTGAATAACGGAAAAGATTATCAAGGACGAAGACAAATACTTTTCTTGACCTAATTACATTATTCTAGGAATTTCATGCATGCATGCATGAATGTTTTTCATAATGAATATGAACTAGAGGTGAATGGACCACAAAGCCTACTTGCGCGTAGCCTTGGCTCTGCTGCTAAGAGGACATAACTTTATCAAACTTGAATCCACACAGTTTGGGACTCAATATGACTAACTTGGCCTAACCGTTCTGGAGAAGTAGATTTTTTTTTCTGTATACATGCATTATTTAAAACATGAAACCTGAATATAGCTTCCTCCTGATTTCATCGTCAATAATTTGAGAAAAAAAAATCTTGAATCTATAATAAGCCTTGAAGATTTAAGCCTTAAACCCAAACTCAGTTGTAGTTTTTTGTGTGACTTGAATGGAAGGAAAAAATTATCAAGAAATTTGTTTTCTACAAACTTGACAACCAACCTAGAAAACTGATGTTTGATCCATGTAGGACCAAGGGGAGAAAAAATAAACCCTTGACAAGGATTGTACACAAAGAGTTTTCTGACTTTGACCTTTCATCTATAAAAAAGTAGAAAGAACATATGCTCTGAGTTTTTTTTTATGCAAAGAGATTTTAAAACTTAGAGCAATTACCAATTTTTATCCCTAATTAAGGAATTTCACCAACAGACAATGCCAAAAAGCAATAGAAAATTTTGAATCATCAACCAATAAAAACAATTTTACCTAAATTTCTTTATTTTATAAAAATAATTTCATGTAATTTTCCTTAATTACAAAAACACACACACACACACAAAAAACAAAAAATAAAAAACGAGAAAAAAAACTACAGATTTATATGGACCAGATAGACCAGATTGAGTACTATGATATTGATGTAGAATATTGTCATGTTTCTATTAATACCCATCTTAAGTTGCTTGTAAATGTTTCCATTCATCACCTGGATTAGCCGTTGCTTCTCTTTCTTTAGCTTGATGAGCTTACAACAAACCTACAGCTTCCTTAACCTAAAAAGCAATTCAGAGCTCCATATACATGTACATGTAAAAGATTATTGCTAGTTACTGTTCCAGCCAAAACAAATAATTATGATTTTATTACATTTACTCAGTTAATAATACAAAGGAGTTGACATGAAATGGTAAGTTATTAGTTATGTACATACATATCATAAACATTTGTCCATAACACATATGTCAATTGTCTGTGACTTTGAAATAAATCTTTGATACCTATACAGTACAGACCAGACACAACCTAATAGAACGCAATTTCCAATGGAACTCCGGGTTAGCTCAAGTTTGCAAGGGGCCCTCTGTAAGGCTGACACCAAGAGAACAAAGATCAAGCCTAGGCCGACCTAAGGCGTACGCCAATTTCAGAAGCGCACCAAAAAAAGCTAACGCCGGGTTCGCTAATGCGTAACAGACCTGCCGATCAGGATTATAGACAAAACGCATTGACCGATCAGCGCCTCGACCAATCAGCATGCCACTATGGCTATTCGGTGTAAATACATGTAGTATAATCGTGTTTATGAACATTTTCTTTAAATGTATTTTATTTCCTTAAATTATTTTTCTCCGGGTAACATTAAGATAAATATTTTACAAATTAATTTCTTAAAGTGTTCTTATTCGATTTAATAATATCAAACAATATAATCATACATGCATGAATTTTAGACAAGATATCTACAAATAAAATATTAACTAGGTTAACTAAAACTAATAAAAGAAACTAATTAAATATCAACTAATATAAAATATTATTACCATATACATGTCTTCATTACATAGCTTTTGTAATTATTCTAGTATTTATTTTGTTTACAAAAATACAACTTTTGAAATACTTTTTCAATACATTGAAATCTGAATTTTCTTCGCTTCTCTCTCTCAACAAAATTAATGAAATAGATTTATATTTTTATTCCTTAGTTTACGTATCTAATTCTTGTGTACATGTAATAAAACATCAATATTAAAGATAAAGTGGAGTCCGCTTCCTGCATGAGTGAAAGCGAACGCCAGGTTCACTCTAGCGGGTCCAAAGCTGACCCCAAGCGATCGTAGAGCGCACCCAAAGCGCAACAAGATTATGAATTAGCCGCCCCAAGAAAACGTGTTAGGTTGTGTCTAGTCGGTACTGTATCATGATTGGTAATTTCATGTATCTGTCAAACAAGCAGATTGGAAACATGATCATTCTACGGAAATCCCTCTATTCTGTATGGAATATTGCTTATTTATACTTCCTGGTGGTTCAGATAGCTTGGCAGTTTGTTTACCTTAGCCTCTAGTGACTCCTGATATTTCATCATGTGCAGCAGCTCGGAGTTGTCGAGTTCCAGCAACATGCCTGTGATCTTTCCAGCCATGTCTGGGAACATACTGGAGATGAGAGGGAATAAGCGGTCTCCTAACATTTGCTTCTGCTCCTGTGGCGGAGCTGTAGCCAACATGGTGGCAGTAAGTGGTTCCTGTCCCTAGACAATCACAACTTTAGGTAGATCCTTTTACAAAATCAGATTATTTTTTTTCAATACACAAATTAAACCTGTAAAATCCAGCAATCCTATAAATCAAATCTTAACAATAACCACAAATCTCTGACGAGACTTGAAACTACTGCAACAGCAATAAATAAAATAATGATCCTTGGTTTAGTGTCTTTCTGAGTCAATTTTAATTGCAATTGGACAATAACTGTAACAGGAGTAGCGTTTCGAGATAATTTTACAGAAATATCTTTTTAAGTTACAATGGCAACACCATTCATTGAAATCAAAAATCGATAGAAGAGAACAAAATTGTGTATCGTGAATTCACTAATTTTCATGACGTTTAAATTTTGTTTTCGAGGTATGAGGAGACCCACAAATTAATGTCCACCACGAAACTTGTCATGTCATATACATCATTACTCAACAATTCTTCATTCACAAAGTCAAATCCTCAGGAACCCATAGTTTTTCCTTAAAACAAGAACGTTTTACCCTACGAGAATATTTGATTTTATAGTATCTTACTGTAGTCTAATTGCGTATCAAGTAATATTAAATTTGACAGAAACTGTAGGAGTAGCATTTAAACAGACAGACAAATGGACGACGGAAACCTTACTAATACATGAGCTCTACTGGTCTCTGACCAGTGAGTTAAACAAGGGTGAAACATTAAGTTGAATATTCTGAAAAAGACAATGGACCTGCTGCATTCCTGGATTTTGTACTTGATGCTGCTGCATCATATGACCTGCACTATATATCCTTTGTAGCCTACCTGGCAATTTGCAGCTGCAGGCATACTGGGTTGGCTTCCTTGGGGACGTCCAGTCACCTGCTGGCTGACAGGCATGTGCTTAGTGTAAGGTGTTCCTGACTGACCAGAGACTGGATGAGCACCTACTCCAGTTGGTCTCCCTGTTGGTCTCTGACGTCTTATTTGCAGGGCTCCTGGTACGGTTTGGAATCCTTATAATATATGTGTCGAATTATAAACTCTGTCATTTTAGTTTCTACTTTGATGATACATTTCAATTAAATCTGAATCGTAATATCTGAGCTCAGCTTTAGTTTTCACTCTAAACTTGTGTGAAAAAAGAGGCCCACTCAGCATAACTGATATCCTCATTATGAGATTTTTGCGTATCCTTACTCATACCATAAAGTATGTGGAAAACTCTGAATATATATATTTAATTTGGAAATCAAAATACCTTGTGTATATGATATATGATGACAAGTTTGACGACCTGATGTCTTTTTCTTCCGGACAAAAAGAATGAGAACAAGAACAACACAAAAATACCCCTCTAAGGACTGATGTCAGATTATTATATATTGCAATTCGCTAATTATTGTACCAGTGTAGTTAATATTGTTTAATGTTAATTCCTCGAATATCAGTTGTGTATCTCTTTGTGATATATAAAACATTAATCATAATTATCATTATCTTCTGATTTAGAAAATGTTTTCAAAATGTCTAAGTACATAAATACACAAAAAATTGGGATATTGTCAATGCTTGTGATTTTCAATAGGGTTATATAGTAAACAACATCCTCTGGTATCTTGCACAAATGCCTGGTAAGGTTTGTTTGTTTGTTAATTAACCTATCAAGAATTTTTCACTCATATGAAATTTATCTCAAAAGGATGAATATAACGTTTCGTCATTTCAGCCAAAGAATATTACGAAAATAATCTTCCTATATTATATATGGTGGTAGAGACAGACAGCTAGACAGACAGACAGACAGACAGACATCTGGTTAAGTGATCCCAAAGTGTCACTTTGTTCTACAGGCAACACAAAAGTACACAGATTGGAATTCAATAATCTAATGAATTAAAATAAAAACAAATAATACACGGTGAATTCTTTTACATCACAAAAACTGCCAAACCCAATATTGCTTTCAAATATTTACAGCTTAAGTCTGAATGATTATATAAGTAAAATCCCTGTTTTTGCTTAAATTACCTTAAACTTACATAATGTAAAACCCAAAGTTAAAAAGGATTAAACCCTCAAATCTAGTAAAGAATACGAATTGTAATTAGCGCAAATACACAGACCCAAGTTATATCATCCTTTATTATCCTTTAGATCAAAATTAAAGATGACAATGACCTTAATTTTATTTTTACTATTTATTCAAATTCATATGATTGTTGTAAACTTGCTGATTTTATATTATTTATACTGCTAATCCTATGCATTTTCATTCAGTTTTATATTTCATACTACTATTTTCAGTATGCAATAGGGATCCTGACATAAGAGCTGTTATTGAAAATCAAGAAGGATAATTATTTATAATTAAAAAAAAAACACAAATAACAGGGTTCTCCACATTTGAAAATTTAACCATGGAGGAAGATGCGCGAAAAGGAAATGTGAACAAAAGCACTAACGCGTGTTTGAGTCTCTAGGCTTCATAATCAATGATTGATTTCACAAAAAAAACTTAACCATTGCAAAACAAGAAAATGAAATACACCTCCCCCCCAAAAGAAATTTAAAAAAAGGAAGAAAAGAAAATGAAAATAATACAATAAAAAAGATTATGTACCTTAATTTACAAAAGTACCAAATGTACCAAAATTGGACCAATTCTTGGTCGAATTCTACAAAATACCATATGACATGCCTAAGCAAAGCGTGTGCTAAAATTTCAAGCATCTGCGATGAGTAATTCTTGAGAAAACTGCGACCAAAATTTGTTATGCATGGTACGGACAGACACACGGATAAAAGAAAGTTGACACCAGATTCGTACAAAAATGAATCCAACCGTATGGCATGCCTAAACAAAGAGTGTGCTAAAATTTCAAGCATCTGTGGTGAGTAATTGTTGAGAAAACTGAGACCAAAATTTGTTATGTATGGTACGGACGAACACACGGATAAACAGGAAGTTGACGTCGAATTCTTACAAAATACCATATGACATGCCTAAACAAAGCGTGTGCTAAAATTTCAAGCATCTGCGATGAGTAATTCTTGAGAAAACTGCGACCAAAATTTGTTATGTATGGTACGGACAAACACACGGATAAACAGGAAGTTGACATCGGATTCGCAAAAAATGAATCTTACCATATGGCATGCCTAAACAAAGAGTGTGATAAAACTTCAAGCATCTGCAATGAGTAATTGCTGAGAAAACTGCGACAAAAATTTGTTACGGACAGACACACAGCTAGACAGACAGACAAGGGTAAAACAGTATACCCCCCTTTCCTTCGGAGCGGGGGTATAAAAACATTTTCTAGCAAAAGGTCAGTGAGTAAGAATGGGTCTAAAATAAGACTTGATAAATAACAATGACATGTTTGGAAAAAAAGAACGTGATCACTCTTTCCAATCTCCCTCTCCATTCTGTATGGCACAAATACACTTCTGACAAAGGTTTCAAAACGAAATTAACAATATGAGCACGTCAATGTAATTCAAGCAGATTTTATATCAATGCCAGATGACTTAACGTGTTCGAACATAATGTCCTAGTGAGTACAAAACATTACTACAAAACATTAGCTACCTTACAAGTCACGGAATCTAGTATTCACAAAGTTACCTGAGGTAAGAAATCACGTGGTGAATTATAATATTCAACATGTCACAATCCTTGGTTACAACACATAGAGCGAATGTAAGAGGAAGATGTTTTTTTCTCTTTTTAACCATGAGCGCATGATTGTCTATTAATCTCCTTTTGACACATTATTTATGCAAATATACAACTACTGTTAAACGTAGAACAATAGACAAACATGCGCTGACTATGTATAAAGTCAGGAAAAAAGTGGGCGTCCTCATTATCGAACGGAGATTCAAGAAATTGTGATGACCACTGCCTTTGAAAACAGATTCGAACTTCGTAAATACACTTTTTTATTAAACGTAATTACATAAAGTTGTAGATTGGATGTTGACCATTCTTGCTATGAAAAGAAAAATGCTTGTTTTGAAAGTTTATGTTGTCGCAAATTTCGCATGTCCTTAAGTGCAGTCATCCTTTCCTTATGAATTTCTGTTTTCATTCGATGTGGTTGTGTACATTCTTAACTACACAACATGTAAAACCAGATATTCCCTTACCACTTGCAGGCTGACCAGTTGGTCGAACAGTAGTTGTCTGCCATCTTGGATTGGTTTTCATGGTTGGCATGTTGTTGGGACCATAGAATCTCTGAGCTTGAGGCATTGTTGGGACAAAGTATCCAGCCCCACCTGGTTGGAACATCTGGCCCACCTGTCCCATTTGCTGTCCCTAAATTAATGACTTCCATGTTTTATAGTACAGGAATATTTCTGTAGATATCTTGTATCTGGAACAATTCTTGCATATTTTTTCCATTACACTGTTGTTATGTATTTAACCTATTACAAAATAATTCATTGCATGTATATACGAAGGTTGTTCGGAAAGTTCGTGAACTATGCAAATCTTCGTTATACTATCTTTAAGAAATTTAAAATGAGCACAAATGAACGGACAAGTTCTATTGTGAGCACGCTATTTGCATGAAATCAGTAAAACTCTGCAGGTAAAAACTATACGTATTTTCTAATTAATATGCAAAGATTTGGTGTTTTCCGATGATCTTTAAAAAATATACAGCTAAATTATTTAGATAAAACATGCTTTACGGAGCATGTTACTTTTTTGCACCTGTACTTTATAGAGACATAATTTGATGAAAATAAAAATTGCACTGTTGTAGCACAAAACAAAGCCAAAAATGGTAACGTCATTGAACGTCTTGGAGCACCGAGCTATTAAAAATTATGTGTGCAGACAGGAAAATGCCCGAAAGAGACTAAAATGTTTTTTAGATGCTGCTGGGGATGGCTTACACGTATCTTGTACCAAAGTGTTCAAGCTTTGTAAGAATGGAAAGAAAGACACTATTGATTATCAACTCCTGCGATATCCCATTATCCTGCTCATCGCATGGACGTTGCGCCTTTGGATTTTGCAGTGTTTCTCCTATCTGATCGCTGAACTGCGTAGACAATGTTTGTAAGATCTCACAAAAGACATTAAAAAATATGACATGTCTTGGAATACTTATTTGATTTTTAAGTCAAAAAAGACATGAAAAGTCTATAGAAATGAAAGAAATATGTAGAACTGTGAAAAAGCTTCACAGGTCTGGAATCAGGTTGTCACGTCACCTAACGCCATAAAATGTCAAGTGATTGCTCCGTGAATCCTATGACTGCGTAGTAAAAATATATTTTCAAAAATTTCTAAAGTAAATGGACCTGGTCTTTTGCATACTAATAAACAAAGGATAAGCATTTAATTAGACATACGTCATTCTTCAAAGTTTACAATATTTTTTGTGTAAATCAACGTGTCCGCGAACTTTTCTAACAACCCTCGTACACACATCATATTTGGTCTTACATCTTTTTTTATTCAAGTAAATATATGTTATTCAGGTTTCCATGTAAGATTATTCAATGTTACCTGCATTCGCATGCTAGTGATATGCTTCATATACTGGCGAGCCTTACGTTCTTCCTTCCTTTGAGCAAAATCAACATACAGGGGCTTTGCCACCACAATTCTTCCATTCATTTCAGTAACAGCTTTGGTAGCTTCTTCTTGGGAACTGAAGCATACGAATCCAAAGCCTCTGGATCGACCTCTCTCTGACATGACCTGAAATCGTGACATTGAACATTTATAAACACAAGATTCCAACACTGAACGTTGAAAGAACAGATTTCTAATATCTTCATAAAAAAAATCCTTACAAAGAAATATAGATGTATAGCAGGATCTAGTTAATGTTATATCAAGCCTTTTTCTTTACTCCTCACGAAAATATTAACATCAGTGAAAGAGAAACTTCAAGAGTACTGTACAACAATATATTTTATTATACTTTTCATGATAAATACTAAAATCTGATTGGTTTAGACCCATTTAACAATCTGTAATGTTACCCTCAGCGTTAGCAACACACTTGAGAACGGGTAACATTACAAAAATGTCACATGCGTTCAAATCATGCGCGTACAGTTCACCGTAGAATTCTCAAAACGTCAGTTGTGCGTTTGAAAGAAGCCGATTAAACGACGTCAATAAAAGCTTGCGTCCGATGTAGCTTACTTGAAAACAACAAACGACAGACGAAACATCCTTGCGAGTACAAATTTTATTTGATAAAGGACTTTCTGAGTAGCAAACAAACAATAAAGAGGTTGGTAAATCTTTTCCGAAGCTTTCTTATTGAGAAAAAAAGAAGAGGGGAGTATAAAAGCTTTCTAAACGTGAACTTAACGACGATCTCCGAATTTTTTTAATGACATCCGAAATCAAGAAGACATTCAGTATAATGAAATAAATAGTGCCCGTTTTTGAGGATAACAGTTGAAATCGACACCCCGCGGAAAACCATTGTCAACCTCCGCTAACGCGTCGCTTACCAATGGTTTTCCTTGGTGTCAATTTCAACTGTTACCCTCAAAAACGTGCACTATTTATATATTATTACTTTTTATACTCATTCCCCACGGCAAAGACCAGGCTTTTTGACTTAGAGAATTGTTTTTTCAATAAAAATGGAACTCTTAAATTTGAATACTGTGTCATCGGTTAGGCCAAATTTATTTTGTTAAAAACATTCTGATTCTTATCACAGGTATTTCTTAGATAATATTGCAAACGTGCTTGAGTGTCTCATTGACAATATCGATGTAGTTTTTGGAGACCAGGTCTTCCAACAATCTGATGGAATTTCCATTGGTACTTACCGTGCCCCGTTCTAAGCAGACCTGTTTTTGTGTTCATATGAAGCAGAATTTATTCAAAATCTTCTACATCAAAAAGAGAAGTATCTTGTGGTGGCCTTTAATTCGATGTATATATTTTGATATATTGATCGATGACGTTTTTTAATGATCAATATTCATTTTCATTTCTACATTGATTTGATATGATGTATCCCATTGTATTCAAATATTCTACAGTCGTTATTATAGACTTGTTAGCAAACATAGCGTATCATTGGATAGTATTTTGGCTGACGGCTAGCATACCAATTGCTAAGCCTTTGTTCTTATACCGAATTTGACTACTAAATGTTGTCTACCTGATCAATACTTAGGGCTAACGACGGGTGTTACCAGTCAACAGGGGACGCTTACTCATCCTAGGCACGTGATCCCACATCTGAAATTTCCATGGGTCTGATTTTTATGCTCTCTTCACAGATATGTATTGTTTCTAGATGTTTTTGAGAAGGATCGCCATTCGTTATCTTCACCTTTTTTCATACAAAACACCACAGAGTCTGACACATCTGTTTCATATTTTGATATTTTACTAGAGAATGACATTGATGACAAACTAACAACTAAACGTTATGATAAAATATTTAATGTATTGACGTCAACTTTTCTATTGTCAGCTTCCCTTTTTTATGTAGCAGTATACCATTATCACCAGCACATGGTATTTACCGCCTATTTCATTCGATACACAATAGTTTATGCTATGTATGAACTTTTCTAAATCGAGGTAGGCTATTAACAGATAAGTAGATGATACAAGGATTACAATCTCGTTTAAAATCCACGGTTCAAAATTCTAAGGTCGATACACAGACCTCTAGTGAGTTCAAATGTTGACAGACATCTACCCATACAAATTGTTAGGCCATTATTCATTAGGCCATGAATTTTACCGTTTACTCGATCATGACAAGGGGCACACAGCGGGAAAGATTGGTCGACATGCGATGATCACTCCTTCACTGCACCTGATCCCACCCTGCTTTCGCTCACATTTTGTAATGTTTAAATGGACTTATGAGCTTGATCCTTGTTCTTGAGCTTCCTTTTTTATTTACTAACCGTATGTAACTGAGTTAAATTTGATCGCTATAGTTCTAATGGTTTGTATTCCGGGGTTTAAATTCCCTCAAATTTCACTGGTCCAAGGACTGCTTAGCTTGAGAAATTCTCTAATCACTAGCATAGCATCAATAGTCAATTTGCAAGTATAAAAATCAGACTGAAACTTTATTAAGTAATTGAGAAAAAAGTGGTGATGTGACTTGTAGCATAATAAAGTTGTACTCAAACTGCGTTTTGTGAACCAGCTATGAAAAAAAAAACGACAAGTAGCCCTCCTCACTTCTAATTTATTTTTATTTTCAGCATAATTAAGCAACAATCAAAGCAGACAAATTAATTTTTTAGAAGATACAGTGTTGAGCCTAAGACACAATGTAGACTAAAACTATATAATATTAGCTTTATTTCAATAAATATGAATATTTTAGGCCTATACATGTGCTATATATAATCCGTATACTTCCAAATTTCATGGAAATTCAATTCATAAATAAAAAGCCATAAGTACCTGTTATATAGATATATTTACAATCAACATGTATTTTGCTTATAAAGTATGGGGATAGCTACGGCATTCAAAACACCATAACACGGGCGGGGGATCAAAAGGTTAAAGTATGCGTTTTATTTTGACGTCACAAACGTTTAACAACGTGGACGTGCAACGTCATAATCGAAAATCAAATTTCACGCTCACATTGAACAGAAGCTGTTGCAATGGCTCTTCCATTAAATGTAACTTACCCGAAGGATAATACAGGGGTTTTGAAATAAAAAAAAAACCTTTGCAGTCAAGGCAAGGAGTTAAAAAATGTAAATATAAGCATTGAATCATTATTTTTGAAAGATATAGTCTCATAACTGCAACGGTGTGTGGAAACAAATTTTCATGTATACTATCCAAATTATTTGTATGGATATAAATGCATGTACTATATTAAAAGTGAATGCTTTAGATCCTTTTGAAAAAGGCACTAATTCCAAAAGTTGAGGAACGTAGTATCTGCAATAAAATCTTTACAAACCAAGTCAAACATTATTCTTCCCACTAAGGAATATTAGCCCATGAGGAACTCCACCCTCTATTAACAGGTTTAGTAATTACTTTTTGTTTCATGACATAAAGATTCTTTTTTGAAACATATGAAACATTTAAACAGTAAAATCAAAATTAAAAAATAAAATAAATCTTTGAAATTGAAAAAATCAAACATTTTTTGTGGAAATAAAGAGACTCCAGGGCTATAAATTTTACTAAAAATTACATTCGGTTTCCCTATACATAACAAACCTTTGCTTGGGTGATTTTAAATCAGTATAGCATAATAAGTATTCAACATACTTGAACCTCTGAATATGATAAGATATCTCAGCATCTTACCTTAGCACTGGTAATGGTACCAAACTGAGCAAATTCTTTTCGTAATCGTTCGTCATCAATATTGTTATCTAGATTCTTGACATACACGTTGACTCCCTGGTACCTATTGATGCTTTCCATCTTAATCTGATCAAACTTTCCTTTGAGCTCAGTCTGTCGAGCACGCCCTGTATACAATACTTTTCCACTAAACACTTTTCCATTTAGTGCATCAACAGCCTAAAATAATCATGGAAAAACTGATTTTCATGCTGCCACTGACATGTGTATGTCACTGTATATCAGAGAACAACTTTCCCTAAAAGCTTACAAAGAAGAAGGTACGGTTTTAGCTTTATCGTGCCCTAAAAATGTAATGTTTCAAAAAGTTTTGAAACTGGCTTAAATATTAGCTGAGTATATGACTTTGATAAATCATGAAAGAATATGGCATGAAGGAGTACCATTCTGGAAATATGATGTCATTAATTTGATGCATTTCTCTATTTTAAACAGAAAAAGCCACAAAATGACCCATTTCAAGGGTTATTTTCTTTAAGAAAATAGTGTCCACAGCTGTGGCCCACTTTAATTTTCGGATATGTTGTGTAAAATTCTTTGAAAAATCACATATCCCAAAATCTTTGTGGGCGATGCCTGTGGACAATATTATCTGAAAGAAAAATCCATTGAAAATTGGTGTCTTCTGCAACTTTTTAAGAAAATACGGGAAAATGCACAAGTTTATGACGTCACAGTTAACATTTAGAAGGTCATGTGAGAAAAAAAGATTTGTATGATCTTTCTCCATGGAATTTCAATGATTCAAAAAGCAGGAGTTTTAATTTATTACATCATTTTCATTTTTAAGATCTTCTGTCTCTGGACCATCTGCACTAAATTGTATGAAGTTATTTATGTTCAATCAAATGCCTACCTTGTCGACAGCCTCAGGGTCTTCAAAGCTAAAAAAATCCAAATCCTCTACCTGTCATGACCTTAAAATGTAAATGGAATGTGTTGATATTTCGACCACATAATAAAATCAAGACAAGATTGTTGTGTTCTAAAGGTGGTGCCCCTTCAAATTACGACAAGTCGTGAAAAACTTTGATGACTAACATATTCATAACTATACCCATTAATACAAAAATAAACACTGACAAAAGCGTGTCATTCTGGCGCATAACAGTATGTTTTATCAATTGCAATTAAACACTTGCATTTTTGAGTGTAGTTTAAATTACTGCTATTGGTAAATTAGTAACTAATTTATTACACTCTCTGATATCTCAAACAGAGATATCATATAAGTAGTTCTAAAAATCTTCGAAATCTCAAATAACTTAAGACTTTTCAGAAGTAATTGTAGCCAAAACTTTTTTTCCAAAATAGCAACCCAGTAGTTTATATTCAATATTGATTATGATATCGTGGATACTAGTTAACCCTCACTGTCAAATGTAAGAAATTGTTTTACCCAAAATCTGTTGAGTAATACTTTAAGATGATCAGTCAGGGAGGATTTGAATACAATGAGTTCATAGCCCAATGATTCGTTCTAATAAACATGCATGAAAAAACAACTAGCACTACTATTAAACTTCCAAACACTTTATATATACAAAATTACATGTTTAATTTGAAAGTTTATAACAAATAGTAAAAAAGGGAAATCCGGACCGCTATGAAATACGTCCGGTCTGTCGGGTGTACTCTGGTGAAGTCTGGTGAATAAAACATGTAACATTGTACCCATAGAGGAAACTATTAGATAAGTGAAAGGAAAAAAGCTTTGTAGTTGCATAAAAATGTTTACGCTTATACATTAAATATGAAAGTGTCTTTAGTGAACTATTTAATGAAGCTTTTAACAGTTTGATAAAGTATTTCTTCTTTTCTCGTCTTTGTATAACATTGTCCGTATAAAGTTGGTAAAACAGAAAAAACTGAAAATTATCCCCGGCCACAAGTATCAAGACGTCCGCTTAGATTCAGGCTGGTTAATGTGTTGTTTGTGTATTCGGACACGTGTACGTAGGGTGGTTCCAGTTTCCCCTATATAAAAGTGTCTACATCCAGCGCACGTAATGCAGTAAATTACGTTTTTAGACTCACATCATGTCTGCTTTGATGGTAAAATCTTTATTCCCGAATTTAAAGGTACTTCCAATTTTCATGTACTGGCAGGTTCCAAAACGGAGATCGGAACATTTTTTTGACTGAATATGAATTCTGCTGGTGAAATGAAGATTTGCATAATATCCTTCGGAGGATCTCTTTGATGTTTAAAATCTTTTAAATTCAGTACCAATGATGTAAATTTGTAAATAATATGCTAATATTCAAGTAATATTTTCATTTGATATAACAAATATGCGCATTTCAACTGTAGAACATAAAATATAACGATCTGAAAAAATACTAAAAATACTTTGATAGTGAATACTTTGATTTGTTGTAGTAAAAACTTTGACATGATATATGGATATGACGAACAGTATTCAAGCCCAAAGTCCATTAAAACAATACAAATAGGGAGCAGAGCAAACAAGGACCTTCAAAAAGATCGGAGGTGGGATCACGTGCCATGCAGGAGTGAGCATCCCCTGCCGACCGGTCACACCCGCCGTTTGCTCCTTGTGACACTATAGTTAACTATAGTAAACTATCGTTAACTATAGTATATTTTTGGTAAGTTTTGGTCGCATAAATTTAGTACTATTATACCTCTCTGGTTCTTAGGTCTAGCAATTCCGGGGTGAAATTTGATAAACATTTTTCAGCAAAACTGAGTTCCGATAAACAGGTTAACTTTAAATAAATTTGATGAAATAGAAGCAATAAATAAACTTAAACAACTTCTATCAACAGAATTTCAGAAAAAAATTCTGCACAAAATTAACTAGATGACATGAGACACTAATGATCTTCTTCGAGAAGCACTGACTATTACAGTCGACGGCTTACATTTACCACCAGGACAATATATGGAAGCTCGTTTGCAATATAAATATTTAGATTAAAAGTTAATTAAATGGTCATTAGAGGCCATTACAAAGCACATATAACGTTTTCTAGGAAGGGAACGGCAACCTCTCTATCCTCAACCACCTTCCTTCCCACCTTCAGCAACTCCTGCCTAATTTTCCATTGATCATGTCCCACTATATGGTATAGTGGTTAGATACTTTTGAGTTTAGATACATGGAAACACATCTGAACACCTCAACTATTTATTAAACTGAACTGTCAAACATAATAACAACTTTACCATGATGGCATGATATGACACCGTCACAATGGACTACTGCTGCGTCTCAAATGCACTGAAGTGTTATTCAGTAATAGGTATTTACCAACAATTTGAATGCGACAAAATTTACTAATAAAATTTAATTTACTCATCAAATGAAACTTTAACTAGTTTTACAATATAATACGTTTCCTACATAAATAAACAATTTTGACCTATTACATCTAGACACATGCAAATTAACTTGATTTGAATATACCTTATTTTCATATGAATTTACGAGAAGTCAAGCTGAAAATATTATTCACCTGAACAATAAAAAAATGAGTTTAGAGCCACGCAACTCGTGCTTCTGGAAATATCGAAGATGAAATCAGTTGCTATGGAGAGGTAAGCGTGAGCTCTTTGTCTTGATAGAACAATCCATAGACAAATCAACATTGTACATGTTCAACATGTACAATTTATAAGAGATTCTGGCAGATTCAATTAATTATTACAGCCTTACACTAAAACTCTAGTGAGTTATATATTTATCATGTAATGAATGTATGTTTAAAGCAAACATGTTTGTATATCAATATTTTTTTTTATATAGACTTTGACAGTTGTAGCCATTTATGGTGAGAACCTCGTAAGTTGTTAGACCTTGTGTTTAAACTATTGGTATACTATATATACAATAAAATATGTTGGAATAATAACTACCCAGGTAATTTTTTCTTACATTGGCTAAAGTTTTACATTCTAAGATATAATGAAATTCATCAGCAGTTTGAATATTTTTACAAAATGTACAGATTTTATCACACAGTGGTATACCGTACCATCTTCCAGTCTCTACTCGTAAATGATGATTAGCGGTACGAAATTTTTTAAATATTTCTCTAAATCTAAGAGATAGCTTATCAATATAATGCTCAAATCCAAAGTTTTTTTTAAAGATTCTGTAAATCTATCCTTTTAAAGAATTATTTACGTCACTAGACCACTTTTGAATAAATTAATCTTGTAATATTTATTTTAACAGTGGCAGTTATCCATTTATAATTCATATTGATACCCTTTTCGTACCATACATCTGATAAACCACACATATTACATATTTTCTGTATGCAATCTAACCATGGGTTTGTTAAGTTTCCATCACAGTACAGTTTAAACATATGTTTGTATAAAACATTTATAATTTTATTTGGTGGGCCTGAAAAAATCTTTGTCCAATATGAAATCATTCTACAATATACCGAGATATACAGAGGAAAGCGACCATAGACCATGTACGATGGCGTGCAACTTTTCAAATTAAATATATACTTTTAAGTTCAAACGCTCGAAAATATCAAGATTTTCATAGCCCCATATTTCAGATCCATATAGTAAGACCGGTGCAACGACGAAAAGTGACCCCCGTAGAATATTGACAGGGGGCCAATTTTTTGGTAGAAAATTGACCCAGGTCAATTTTCTACGGCAAGTAGGGTTTTTTTCGACCGTAGAAAACCCTTCCAGGCCGGTAATTCTACGACTCCACACACGTTGAAAAATGACCCCCATAGAAATCTGACCCCTTCTTGTTCACCATATTTTATAATTAAACCTTTAGAAATGATATGTGATATGCGTTAATCCGAAGTTGGGGAGGGTCGGTGAAGGCCTAGAGTATCCTGATTTTTTTCCCCTTTCAAATGCATATTGGCGGAGGAGCAAAGTATCTTCCCCTCCTTAAAGGTGCTTAGACACAGATTTGAAGTTAATATTTTCTTAAATTTTCTGTATAATATCACGACTTATATATTGCAATAGCATTTTACACGAAAATATAATTAAAAACTTATTTTATCTGCAAATTATTGGAACTACGAATTCCTGGACGAGTTTGATTAACACATCCTTGCACTTTCACGAATTTTATCTTTATCCTTAACATTTAAGAAAAGAAGCGATTTTGTTGTGTATAAATGAAAAACATTACATGTATAATCCAGAAAATTCAGAGTAGAAATGTGCGAAAGCAAACCCCCTCACTAATATCGTCAGCCAGTGCTCAGTGTTGTGTACAGAGTTTAACAAATTGAATACACCCTTGAAACGTAAACTGTTTTTCTAAGCAGGGCACGAGCTCTGTTATTGTTATTGTTTACGATTCACCGGATGTGTTCAATTGTTAAAGTCTGCACACACCACTGAGCACGGACTGACAATACTGTGAGTGGGTTTTGCTTTCGAACATTTCTATTCTGAATTTTCTGGATTATATTTTTAATATTTTTCATTAATACACAACAAAATTGCCACTTTTCTTAAGTATTAAGAATGAAATTAAAATTTGTGAAAGTGCAAGAATGTGTCAATCAAACGCGTTCAGAAATTTGAAGTATATATATATAAAACAGTATAATCCGTTTTGTTTTGTTTTGTTTTTTTCTTTTTTTTTCTCACAGGTCTTGATCCGAAAATGACATATGTTTCTGACAACGATATACCTGTATGGAATGCATGTTATCGGAAACCATTTAAAGGACAAGTTTGTGGCCCTATACTTCTAGCTTAAAATTTGTGCCCGCTTTCAACCTGCCTCCACCATGCATCAGTTTCTGGATACACCAATGTATTGAAACAAAAAACGTATTGTATTATTATTATTTTTAGACAATGAAAAAACTGGAGAAAGCACGGCATACGAAGCGTCCAATATGGAGATGCTATCATTATCTATAATTACTGCTTCATTTTTAATATCATGTAATATCTTTTCCCCTCTTTTAGGTTCATTTATCTTTATTTATTACGTGAATATTAATACCCGCGCTCCAAAGGAAATGGGGGTATATACCTTTTACCCTGCGAATCGCTCTGTTGTGTGTGTGTTGGGTGAGTGTTTGTGTCTGTCTCTCTGTCCGAAACATTTTTTTTTCGTTGCAGTTTTCTCTGCAACACCTCATCGCAGATGCTTGAAATTTTGACACATTCTTTGGTTCGGCATGTTATACAGTGGTATTCATTTTGGTACAAATCTTGTCCGTCTGTCTGTGGGTATCACTAGAGAGCACTGGCCTATAGATTTCTTGTTTCCCCTGTAATTTGTGTACTTACAATGTATTTATTGTCTGTAGAATCAAATTATTTGTATTGTAGGGAAAAAACGAATGTATCTTAATAACGTTAATTATGAAACACTATATATATTGTTTGTATCAGGATCGCTATATGAAAAACACTAATAGTCTCTAACCCCCCCCCCCCAAAAAAAAAACTATAGTTTACCAAAGTTAACATCAAAGTTAGTATCAAAGTTTTTACTATGGTAAATCATAGTATTTTTTTTTTTGATATATGATTGTTATATTTTATGATTATAAATATGTGCACATTTTTTATATTTTAGGGAACTACGAGGGGTGATCAAAAAGTTCGTGAACTATCTCTTTATTTACAAAACCACAGTTCAGATCAAAATGAAATTTGGCACACATTTCTAGTCATAAACATGTTCTATAAATAGCAGATGTTTGCTCCATGTATGTGACGTCACAATATAAAAATGACTCAATATGTAGATGACGTGACAAAAAATGGTTGACTCAGTCGTACTTGAGTAACGAACGGCTTTAAAAAAGTTTAACGTTATCTTTGAAATTCCTTTGCAGTAGCATATAATAATTTGTACAAGATTTATGAAGACAAAAGACTTGCCAGAAGTTCAATCATTAATTGGATTGGTGAATTTGTAGTGAAGGAAGGGAGGTGCTTAAAATGATGTTTGTTCTGGTGCAGAGTGAAAGTAAGCTGTGGAAGAGATGTGTCCTCAGTTGAGCAATTTATAATGAAAGATCGCCAAATTACAGTTAGAAAAATAGTTGAATATCTTAACAATAATATAATTATTAAATCCCTTAATTATCGTTTACCTTAGATTTTAAACATATCATATATGATAAAAAGAAGGCGCCCATACTTTATCCACAATAGATAACCAACGGACCCAATACAAAAGAGTCGGGTTTTGATGGTCACCATGCTCATTCTGGGAAATGATATCCTTATCCATCCATCCTATTGCCGAGATTTGACCATTTGTGACTAATGGACTATTTTTGTTGTAAAAAATAACTTGCACGGTATAAGAAATATAATATTGGAAACATTTTTAACTTCTGTGAACAGAACGCTACGGAGCATGTCACGTGACCGCCTGGATCACGTGATTCCCGCATGGGCAGAACGGATGCAGATGTCCATTCAAATCGGAGAGGGCCACTTTAAAAAATAATAAACACTGAAACCTGATTTTATTTCTTTTTTAGAAGTAATTCAATTAGTTCGCAAACTTTTTGATTACCCCTCGTATTTCTTGTATATTAACATATCATTTCAAAATTTTACATTACTGATATCAATTTTAAGAAAGTTTCAGCTTTGAAATCTCAAAAAAGTTCCAAACTAAGTTTCATAGTTAAAGTTTCAAAGTATTTCACGTAAATTTATTTGGGTAGGTTTCGAAAGCATTAAACTTTCTTGTAACTTCTGAAGAAAAAAAAACGCTTGGGACTTTATTTTCATCCTTTTTTTTTCTTTTACATTATTTACCCAGAGTAAAATTTAAAGAGAATCATTACAATTATACAGAGAAACCATGCATTTTTATGTATATATAAGTTTCTCTTTCTGACACCAGCTAATTAAGTAAATAGTCTTTTTTTTTTAAATGACGACTGTGGAAACTTATTTTATAAAATGTGCTAAAACAAATTTAAGAACACGTGTATTGAGTCTATTTAGTTCATTTTCAACATAGGGTATCTGCCTTATTTCCGCAGGAAAATGTTCAAAGACAATGGACTATTCATAGACAGAAATCACCGTTGTTCACTTACACTGGGAAAAATATTGAAAGTAATGAATTCAATTACTTATTCTTAGTCAAATATAATGCTTAGAATATTTTCATCTATAATAAATTGTGTAATTAACTGTAAATAACCATTTTTTTCTATCTTTCTTCTAAGGGCAGATCACTCTAACTGCATAAAACTACCCTACAAGTAGAACTCTTTAGTTTCCAGTGTTTAGAGCTTCCTTAATGGGATAAAACATCTTGTATTATTGATGTACATGTAAGGTATTGTATAACCTTTTGTTATTTTAACTTCAAAGCTTTTAGGCTGCGTGATTTTACCCCTATGTATTTGCCTAACAAGAATATTCCTACAAAAAACAGTTTTCTTGTATAAAAAAGACAAAGGGTCATTATTCTACGGGGTCATTTTACAACCCACACGGAAAAAAATGACCCCCAAGCCATAATTTCTACAAAAAGATGTGTCATTTTTCTACGTAGGATATTGACCAGAGAGTCAAATTTCTACGTAGAAAAATGACCCGGTCTATATTCTACGGGGGTCACTTTTCGTCGTTACACCGGCACTACAACTCTATCAATAAGATCAAATTGGCAGTCAACTGGTAATTTAAATCGTCTAATTTTTCTTATAATGCAATACATCGCTTTCTGTGCTTGTTCATATAAGTGGGTTTTGTTTTGTGTGTGTGTGTGTGGTTTTTTTTTTTTTTTTTTTTTTTTTTTTGGTTTGTTGTTGTTGGTTTTTTTTTAACAAATGAACCTGTGCGTGAAAAACAAAAACAAAAAAAAAAAAAAAAAAAAAAAAAACCGCCTAACTAATTAAATTCTATAAAATTTTCATTAACTAAGTTGTCGTACTAAAATTTTATTTTTAACATAGAGCCCTTTTGAAATACTTGGATCTTCGTTTTTTCGATATTCACTTTCAACTTCCATTGTAAACAATATGTCCGAAATTCGTTAATTACATGTTGTAATTCATCGGCTAACATAAACATGCATGCAGGTGACAATGGTATTTTCCTCTATAAAAAGGGAAGTTATTGATAAAAAAGTCATAACGTTTATCATAATGTTTAGTTTCTAGTTTGATATCGATGTCTTTCTATTAAAACATCCAAATTTGAATCAAATTTGTCTGTATCTGTGAGGTCTTTTATTTCGATTTTATTGGGACATATCAAATCAACGTATGAATGAAATCTCACATTCTTAAATGATAAATGGTTTTGAATATTTGAAATATATGCAATGCTGAATTGAAGACAGACATAAGAGAAATTCTTTTCATATATGGCTTGATTGATTGTATGTTGTTTAACGTCCCATTCGAGAATTTTTTACTCATATAGAGACGTCACCGTACGCCGGTGAAGGGGTTCTTTAGACCTATACTCGGCACTCAGGGCCATTGAGCTATGAGGGTTCTTTATCGTGCCAGCGCCTACCGTGACACGGGTCCTCGGTGTTTAAGGTCTCATCCGAAAGACCCGTGACTTTCACTTCTAATGCCGGGCGCATGGTGAAGGAACAGTCTAACAATGTTTACCTCTAAGGTTTGACGCGGCGCGGCGAACGAGAATCGAACCCGGGCCTCCCGATCACGAAGCGAGCGCCCTACCACTAGGCTACTGTGACCGGTCTTTTCATAAAGAAGTTTTGAAAAAAACATATTTTAAAGAAACAAAAACTGCATTGTTTGACTGATAAAGTGATACATGAAATATGTATTGGATATATGCTGAATACCGTTTCTTTATGGAAAAAAATATCAGTCAGTTTGAGGCCCTAAATGTCTGATATTTTTTTTCATACAGAATTGTATTCGGCATATATTGCACTTAAAACATTGCTTTTTTGATTTACCTGAGACAGCCGCCAGGCTTAAATGAAAAGTACTCGGTATTTAAGGAATCACTACACTATAGTAGGTATTTGACTTACCTTGATAAGTTTGATTCGGAGAGTGGGGACAATTTTTTTCTTCCTTAAAACATACATGGAACTTAAATCAATGCACCGGATTATGATACAGACAATCTAGTGAATGAGTTTCTTGGAATGGAAAGGAAAATGCAGACGTGAATTTTTATTTGAACTGAATAACCACAGAAAATAAGCAGATGCTGAAGGTATATTATGCCATTCCAATTTTTTTTTCTATGTTTAGCGTCCGTATGTGCCTTGGTTTTTGACACCCATAGCAGAAAAACAGACATAATCAGCAATCCAAGAATTGATTATTTTGATGGAAATGTTGGAATTCTGTCAATTTCTTTCAACAATTGTAGAGAATGTGTCAAAATAAGTATTTAGTTATCATATATACTACCTTGGTTTTGCAAAGGCATTCATCTCTCTACGGTAAAAAAAGAATTATGGAATCAAATTGTTACATTGTTCTTTATACGTCTCTAAAGTTTGTGTTTATTTTTCGAATCGTGCGTTGGTGGTGTTGTTCTTTTTTTTAAATAGGTAGATAGGGTTTTAGTGATAGATTCAGACTAAACAGAGAGAAAAATTTGAGTTGTCCTGTTTTCAATTACAGATGTCAAAATAAGTTTTAAAAAGTTTGCATGTGTAATGAATAAATTTGTAATGCAACCAGCAGTAATACTCATCCATGGTGTAAATGAGAAATTTACCAGCCAACTCTGCTTCCAGTGGTTAAGTATCATCATAATTTATTCAATCCAGATAAGGGAATTTGTTACCTATGGTCAGCACTAAATGATTGATTGATTGTATATTGCTTAACACCGGAGGGTTTTATATCCCTAACCTTGGTTGCTTTGCAAAGGATTATCTAGCTGAAAAAAGAAAATTTTAAATATTTATAATCACTCTGATCAGTTTTAAACACCGCAAAATATAACGATATTACATAGTCTGGACTTTGCGCTAGAACGTTCAAACACTGTTCATAAATTTAGCACGATTCGAAAAATAAACACAAACTTTAGAGACGTAGAAAGAACAATGTAACAATTTGATTCCAAAATTCTATTGAAACTGGCCCAGTAGTTCTGGAGAAGAAGATGAAAATGTGAAAAGATTACAACGACAACACCAACGACAACGACAGACAACGGACAAATTTTGATCAGAAAAGCTCACTTGAGCCTTCGGCTCAGGTGAGCTAAAAATTTATTGTGGGATGCATGTGTTAATTAATGAATTATCCTTAAAGAAATATTAATTTAAAGTCATGGGATACTCAATACATTATGATATAAAATTTCTTGAACAATTTGTACTTATTTGCTAAAACATATTTATCATCATGAATTTTTTACTAATCAAGCCAATCTCATTTTAACATTCTCCCTTAAGATGTACTTTCAAAAATCTATATTAATATTTAATGCAAAATCAAGAAAAATGAAATTCCAAAAAAATAAACAGAGATTTACTCTAAATGTACCAAGTAACAAATAAATTTGAATATAAAAACGATGTAATTCAAAAAGACGAGATATCCCCCCTTTTTTCCGGATTTTGGGCAATCTATAATTAATTCATGTCACATACATATTTTGAACATATGATAGAATCTTACCTGTATTGAAATTATTCCCATTAACCTGGAACCAAACTCCTCTATAGTAATATAACTTCTGGATCCACTAGTTCTCTTTGATTTTAATTTTTTTTATTGTACAGGTCGAATTAACTTGTTTTGTGAGCTATATACATTACCAATATCAGCAAACCTTTTCTCAAGATTCTGGAAACATTTTCCCTTTGTGACATATTTATTATCAAAATGTTTTTCTATGTTTGAAAAAAAATTAAAATTTTCGTCCTAGCATATTTTAGCTAATAAAAAAACACTACTTTCAAATGTCTAAACAAAATTCAAGATATAACAGTTACACCGGGTAAAAAAAATTGTCTGACTTCCGTCCACTTTGACATGTTATTTAGTTGTTAACTAGACGATCAAAGGGAATGACAAGACACACTGTATTGTTTGCTTAAAAATGTCATCACTTGGATATTTTACTTGAAAAAGACGTTAATGGTAATCTAACAACCAAGCTTTATGATAAACGTGATGACTTTAACTTTTCAATCGTCAACTTCCCTTACTTATGCAGCAATATACCTTCATCACCTGCATACGAGGTATATATCTCTCAGTTGATTCGATACGCAAGAGCATGCTCTACGTATGTACAATTTCTAAAACGAGGTAAATTATTGACAAATAAGTTGATGAAACAAGAATATCAGCTGTATCGTTTAAAGTCATCATTTCGTAAGTTCTATGGTCGATACAATGATCTTGTCAGCAAATACAATTTATCATTGAGTCAAATGCTGACTGACGTTTTTCATACTAATTGTTAGGCCATTATTTACACACTGAATTGTCGACGGATTTTTCCGTTATTTCCCGATCATGACAAGGAGCACACGGCGGGTGTGACCGGTCGGCAGGGGATGCTCACTCCTCCATGGCACCTGATCCCACCTCTGATGTTTGGAGGTCCGTGTTTGCTCTGCTCCTATTTTGTATTGATTAATGGACTTTTGAGCTTGAATACTGTTCGTTATCTCCATATATTTCATTGTACAACAACAAATATCTTGTATATATAATTGCGAATCAAAAAATAACAACACCGTTTTTAAATGAATATTTATTTATAAAACATGATTATAACTGAACCCAAATACCCTTTTCTCTGTTTGTTGTTGTGGATGTTTTGCATGCTTGTTGTCAAAACTTAAGACAAAAACAGTAACAATATATGGGTTAGAAAAAGTTAAGAATTCATTACAGTGAATCTGACTCTGAATGTTTTATGAAACTGTTCCAACACTGCACTTTTTATGAATAATGTTTATGAATTAATTATCAATCAAAGGAGAATTTTGAAGCCTTTTTCAGCATATTGTCAGTGAAAATGGTGAAGAAATCGATCTCAAAAATCTTTAAAATAACACAAATATTGAACAGGGCATATAAAACGGACCCATGGAGATTTCAGAGGTAAATCAGAGGTAAGTATTCCTTATTGACTGGCCATCGCCCTATGTATTAATTGATAAGGTAGACGGAATACTCACTCCTCAATTTTAGCATAAAACAATATCTTCAGCTGGTATGAAACACTTCAATCAAAAAAATGACCCAACGTAGGTTGTATTGCAAACAAGGTCATTATAGCGACCGTAGGATTTTTGAAATGCTGAGAAAATTGTTGAAATCCCTGTAACATCAACTTATTTGTCAGTGGCCAGCATCATTTTAGAAATAAAATCGTTCCCAGAGCATTCTCGAATTAGTTGGGAAGACATAAACACCATATGCAGATGGTAGTAATACAAAAATAAGGAGTTAACGATGGAAAAGCTGAAGTCATCTCGTTCGTTATCTAATAAAGTTTTGTTGTTAAGTGGCCATTATCGTCTATAGTCAGTAAAATATCCAAATATGAAACAGATGTGACGGACTCTGTGCTATCTTTTATTTTGAATTAACTGGGATCGTGTCGACATATGAATGAAAGTAACTATTGTTAATTGATAAAACGTTGATGATGTATCTAATGTCGAGTTGAAGCCCAGAGTAAGATTTTTCTTCTTCCCTTATATAAGTTTTTGAATAATTCTGCTTCAAAAAAAATCCCTAAATATGTGCATGTAAAAAATTATGAAAGGAAACGAAAAAATATGAAAATTTATATACTTATTCACATAATAATTTGCCATTTTTTTTCTCATTTGTTTGTAAAAATAAAGGTTGACAATAAACCAATCACATTTTTTCTTCACATTTGGAAAAATGATTACTATATAAAATTATCAGCAAATATTAAAAAAAACCTATTACAGCCTCAAAAGACAATCTCAAAACATTTTCTTAATAGCCAAATCCAAGATCAGCAGCAGATAATTTCGACCTAGGCACAAATACAAACAACTTTTATGGGATGTTCCTTATTTACAAATGCACTGAAAATGTACATGTCTCATGTTACTTTGATGTTTATATAGAATGACAAGATTTTAATTTCGCTCATTTCATATATGCTGACAGATATTGTATTAAGTGTATTAAGTCAGTTTATTCATCCTGTATTGGCTGTACATGTATCTGTTTCTTTAGTTTAAGTGCTTCCTAAACTTCTAAAGTAAAACAAATTAAATTTCAAAACTCCCAGACTGACCGGTTGGTCTTACTGTGGTTGTCTGCAATCTTTTATTGGTTCTCATCGTTGTTGCGAGCATAGAATCTCTGAGCTTGAGGCATTGTTGTGACAAAGTATTCAGCACCTCCTTTTTGGAACATCTTGCTCATCTGTTCCATTTGTCGTCCCTAAATAACCAATTTGTATGTTTTATCTGGCAGGAATATGTAGCCAAATGATCTTCTATGAAGAAATATTTCCGATATCAACTCTTAATTATAAATCAATCACCTATATATTTTATCGGTATCGAAAGCAAGGTTTTTAACTTGCCTAGATTGCACAGGGGGTTGTTGGGTATTAGATGCTCTGTATTGAACAATATGCAATATGTAAGGAAACGCTTCAATAGCGTATACGTTTTATTTTATATAGTATAATAAAAAATTACTAAGAGTTTCCAGAACGATAATTTAATGTTACCTGCATTCGCATGCTAGTTATACGCTGCATGTATTGAGAGGCAAGATGAGCCTTACGATCCTCTTTTCTCTGGGCCAAAGCAACATACAGGGGTTTTTCCTCCACAATTCTTCCATTCATTTCAGTAAGAGCTTTGGTAGCTTCCTCTGGAGAACTGAAGCATACAAATCCAAAGCCTTTGGATCGACCTCCCTCTGACATAACCTGAAATAATGGCATTGATCTATAATTACCAAACCCAACACTGAACATAATAGGAACAGAGAAAAGGTTTAAAAATTGTAACCACCCATATAATGCCATGTAATTCCTTCAGACTTGCCACAAAATTTGTTGTGTGCAAGACTTAGTTAATTCACAAAAGATATAAAGGAATCAGATCACACAATTCCTTAGGGTACTTGGTTCAAAATTGATTTGAATTAAATTGTATCATCTTATAATGTAAAATATGAAAACAACTAACAGTGATCAATCTCATAAGTCCAGTAAACAAAGCAAATTATGAGCAGGGGAAAACACAGAACTGTGGAAACACCAGAGGTGGGATTAGGTGCCAAGGAGGAGTAAGAATCCCCTAAATGCAAATAGAGGAATGATCCAGGAGCACATTAGTGCCATTTTGACACTTTTTTTTTTAACCTTAATCTGTACATTTAATACTTTACTACACTTTAATCTGTAACTTTTTTTACTTGTATATGTAAAACTATTTTCTCCAAAATAGCCAGACAATGTTAGTTGTAATGATATTGAACAATCTCCATCTGTGTCAGTTAAACTTTAATTAATTCATTAAAGGGGTCTGGACACAGTTGCATTGTCGATTTGTTTATAAATTGAAACTTCTATTTCTATTAAAATAAAAAAACAACTTAATAATTGAAATTACATGAAAAATACATGAAAATTCTTAAACTTCAGTGATCACAATATTCTTCGTTACATTAGGTCAAATGCGTGTTTGTAAACATGGGCATACACTCAGTTATTGTTAATGTTAAAAGTTTTACAGGGTGTATTTAGTTTGTTAACTCTGCATACGTCACTGAATACAAACAGAAAACACTGGTGTGTTCGCTTTGTCGATCTTAATGATCCTTAAGAGTCGCTCTACTTTGCAGGGGCAAAAAATGAGTCAAAAGGACCCATCAGATGCAAAAAATGGAAAAACAGACAAAAGTAGAATATCTGTACCACGCTTCCATTTGTTAAAAGACAATGTCACCATAACAGGAACTATCAAATTTAGATATCATATGGACATAATCATAGTCCTTTTTAAAACAAAAAAACTTCTCTAATGTTAAGGAACGTCGTATCCTCAATACACTCAGTCTATTTAAAGACCAAAGTAGAGTTCTCCAAGGAACGCATGTATCGCCTACTTTGTAGTTTCATTAAAGATGTAAATAAATTTAAGATTAGTCAGCTATTTATTAAGTACTTGCATTATACTTCATGCATTTGCCTGCAAAGAAATAAAAGAAAACATCCACGGATGGTAATAGACTGAGATAAAATCTCTCGATAATAAAAACATAGCTCCCGAGCCCTCAAATGAATAATTAAATTGAAATAATTATTTACCATTTTATTAACACATATGTTTCGAACAATCCTCAGTCTGTTTCTACTGCAATTGGCAGTCTACGCGATCCATTGAGTAATACCAACCCTGATGTATTTACATAGTATTTGAATATAAGTTTGCATTGTAACTGAATATCCAACAGTTTCAAAGTACAGTTTCACAAGTCATGAATATGTATAAATGCTAATTATCAAACACTACTTCTAAAAATTCAATAAAATTGTCCGGGGTATTTTTTGCAAAGTGGGTCAAGGGTCAAGGTCAAGTGGATTAATTGCAACGCTGTTTTTTTTTTCATAATGTTTTATGACAAACAGTGCATATGCTAAAGAGCATAGACTTATCTCTTAAATATCAAAAATTTGCTGCATATCGGTACTCTGAAAGTAAGCCAAAGGTAAAGGTCAAGGGTCACAAGGTTGGTAACCATGGTACATGTAATTTACAAAAGCTTTAGTGCCAAGCAATATATGTGCAAAATATCAAATCCATACAGTTAGCGAGATATAAGGTGTGACAGACAGACGGGCAGAAAGACGGACAAACTACAGACAAACAGCCGCCGGGTAAAATGATTCCCTAAGTGTCGCTCTGCTCTGCGGGTGCGTGGAAAAAGGTAATTCATATAACTCATTTAACGAACGGATGGTTATTGAAGAGATATTACCCTTGATACTGGATTTTCCGAACATGTATTACATACATAACTGGTAAACGATCAAGTGTATATTTACAACGATTGTGTTCGAAATGCTGTCGACAAACACGTCCCCCCCCCCCCCCCCCCCTTCGCACCAAAGACCAAAGAAATTTGCCGAATTTTTTGAAGCGAAAATTCAAAGAATTCGAACGATGCTTTTACATCAAAACAACAGTCATAACGGGAATTTGGATGCGCTATGGGCAGACAAAAGGTTTACGGGAACCCCGCTTCTTGAATTTACAAGTCTTCTGCTGAAGAAGTCTTGAAAATTGTGTTAAAAACAGTCTCTACGTCTTGCTGACTGGACCTAATGCCTACGAATATCTTGAAAACCTGCATCGAAAAATGTTCTACCAATCATCACGCGTCTTGTTAACTAGTCACCAGCCGGAGGTGTTTTTCCAGATGATTACAAACAAGCAATAGTTAAGCAGCTTCTTAAGAAACCGTCGCAGGATAAAGAGTGTCTAAAGAACTATAGGCCGGTTTCAAACTTATCGTACGTTTCAAAAATCATTGAGAAAGTCGTGGCAAAAAGAATCGAAGATCATCTCAGTTCGAACACTCTACATGACAATCTTCAGTCAGCATATCGCGCTGTTCATTCCACAGAGACTGCCCTTCTTAGAGTTCATCATGACATTGCGGTATCTCTTGACAAAGGATGTTGTGCTGTGCTACTGATGCTTGATTTATCTGTGGAGTTCGATGTCATCAACCATATACTTTTCCGTCGACTAGAATACTCCTACGGGATAGAATCGTATCTGAGCGATAGATCACAACGCGTTTCGAAAGGCTCAACATTATCGGAACCAAAATCTCTCAAGATTGGTGTGCCCCAGGGTTCGGTACTCGGGCCCAGGATCTACTGCATGTATGCAAAACCAATCGGAAAAATTTGTTACACAAACAACAAGAACTATCATTGCTATATGCACACAGGTCTACATCATGATTGAGCCCCGGGATAATTGGAATAACATCTTCATTCGTCTAACTGCATGCCTCAATGACATACAAAACTGGATGAGTGCAAATTTGCTTAAACTTAACCAGGGAAAAAGGAACTCATGATATTTGCGCCTAAGACCAGATCAAATGAAATTGAAGGTTTCAGTCTTTCATTTGGAAACAACGTCATCAACATTCAACAACACCCCCTTTGTTAAAGATCTTGGGACATATTTCGATACGTCGTTAACAATGGAAAAATAATGCAATGCACTATCTAAACCATGTTATTTCCACCTAAGAAACATCGGATGTGTTAGAAACTATATCACCGAAGATGCATGCAAAACGCTTGTTAATTCATTAGTTACATCCCGTTTGGATTACGGGAATGCTTTACTTGTCGGAACAAACAAACAACTTACAAGCAAGCTTCAACGTGTACAGAACACAGCTGCGCGCATAATAACATTGTCAAAGTCGAAATTTGACCATATAATCCCTGTCTTGATCAGTCTATACTGGCTGCCGGTAGAGTTTCGTTGCCAATTTAAGACTCTTTTTATGCATACAAAGCACTCCACGGACAAGCTCCAACATATATTTGCGAACTAATTGAGCCGTACACACCTTCGCGTAGCCTACGCTCAGAATCATAAAATCTTTTAGTTGTTCCGTCAACAAGAACTGTGACATATGGGAACAGACGATTCGATAGAGCTGCGTCTACCTTATGGAACTCTCTCCCTTTGTATCTGAGAAAATGTGACTCAATAGGACTTTTTAAGAAAAAGCTAAAAACTTTTCTTTTTAAAAAGGCAATGACTTGTACATAGACTGTGTATTTAATCCATTTTTTATATTATGGACACTGCATTTTAATTATTTATCCTATATTTAGTACTTTATGAATAGTATGGGCCCTGAAACTTGATATATATTTATCTTATAATTTCATATATGATTGCTGTAAATTTTTAAATTTAATTGTTTTATATAAGTATTATTTAGAGAACGAGACAGGTACTGTATCATAGATACAAATTTGGGGTGGACGAGTGCGTAGCACGAGTCTCCACTCCCAAATTTGTATCTATGATACAGAACCTGTCGAGTTCTCTAAATGATTTGTGACACGATCAATCAAAAAAAAAAAAGCACCGCCCACTTCATACCTGTGCAGCATCCAAACTTCCGCCAGAATTCGTTTCATCTTTCTGAAGATGAGGCCTCGACATCCGCAGTATATATATTTCCACGTTTAGTCAGATTAGTTTTAACAACAGGGTAGACGTAACAGACTCGAAGTCAGTCTTATTTGATAAGGTGGACGATTTAACCTTGTTGCAGATGGAGATTGATCCTAATTTATTTCAGGGGTCTTAAAATCTCAGTTAACTATAGATACACATACAGACAGTTTTTCGATGGACTTTGATGTTACGGATTTTTATTTTCTTATTGAGACGTGACATTAAAAACGAAGTGAAAGAGATGTGCGGCAGTCGTCAGCGATAAGGATTTAAGATGAAATTAAAAAAACCCTGAAAAATGGACTTGAGTTTGCACGAGAAGAGTGGAAAATGGGGGGAGGGGAAGTGCGAATTTCACGTAATGTATGCTGCATCCGCGAACCCATTGGCTTTACTATTTTGAGGGGGACACACAAAGCAGGGAAAGCAAACAGGTTTTCAGGAATTTCTCCAACATAGGATGTTTTCAATAATTGCGAATTTTCCTTTTCGTCTGGTTCGAACTAACGTGTAGATTCTGTGTGGAATAATTTTTTTAAAAGTGATTGAGAAATTTTGACATTTTACATTCCTAAGGAAATATTTCTTCAAATTTATAATAGGAGAAAAATCAGCATTTACTATTTGTACGTGCTTTTGATAAATTGAATCAGATTTATTTTTAGACCGTGCTGTATTTTAGATACAGAACAGTTGGCTAATACAAGACAGTATACAGGGCTAATACAGAACGGAAAGTAGCTCCGCCCACTGTATTTCCGTTCTTTATTGCTAATAAAGAACAGCAAACTTCAAAGAAAAACACCGCAATCGTGTCACAATATGCTTGTACAGCGCCTTAGAGTTTAATATATAGGGCGCTCTATAAATGTTTAATAATAATAATAATAATTTTAGTATAACTGCTCGTTTTATATTCCTTTTTTTTTTTTTGGGGGGGGGGGGGGTCAAACATTTTATTTTATGGACAATGAATTTTTTTTTTTAACAAGCATTCTGAGAGTATTGCATTAGCAATACTAGTCCCCTACCGGCAAGTGTAATCTGGGTCCGTTCCCGTTAAGAATTGAAAATGTCATAATTCCATCAAAAATTAATGAAGCCGGACGAAATGCAAACTTGATCTATAACTAATCAAGGTAAAACCACATACCAAAAATCAGCTCAATATCTACAAGCGTTTAAAAGAAAAATGCGGAAAACCCGTAAAAATTGAAAAGGCCGTAATTCCGTCAAAAATCAATGAAGCGGAACGAAATGCAAACTTGATCTGTAACTCATCAAGATACACTCACAAACCAAAATTCAGCTCAATATCTACAAGCGTTTAGGAAAAAAAGCGCGGAAAACCAAGTGGGACAGACTGACAGACAGACAGACAGACGGACGGACAGACTCAGAGGAAACCTATAGTCCCCTCCGGTTTCACCGGTAGGGGACTAAAAAAAATCAATGCACTTATGGAATTGTGAAAAAATTTTTAAAAGTCGTACCTTGGCACTGGTGATGTTACCAAACTGAGCAAATTCTTTTCGTAATCTTTCATCGTCAATGTTGACATCTAGGTTCTTGACATACAGATTGACTCCCTGGTATCTATTGATTCTTTCCATCCTAATGCGTTCGAACTTATCTTTGAGCTCAGCCTGGCGCTCGATTTTCTTCTGAGCACGTCCTGCATACAGCACCTTTCCACCAAATAAACCTCCATTCAGTGCATCAACAGCCTGGAATAATGATATTCATGTTTTCAAATTATCACTAAAAATGAATATCACAGAGCAAATTTGTTCTCAGATATAACAGTTGCCATTCTCAGTGGTACCTTAAAGCTGAACACGACTCGTAAATAGGCATACGCCATTTACGATACTACTATCTAAGATATCAGCACCAAGGTATACTCTTCGCATTCGTTACACCTGACTGCTTTTTTGTCACGGGTATCGGCGTGGAATGGCGACCCGTGTTCGTGCTGGTTATCTTGCATTACTTTTGTTTACATTTTATTGCAGTTACGTATATTTGTGTTTGTTTGTAGACTGCACTGACCTGTGCAACTGTTGTAAATCTCTTTCATATCTTACTCTCCTGCATTAGAAGAAGCACACAGTCATTTTCGTCGCTACTAAGTGCTGTATAGCATACGTCCGTCTACACCGGTGACAATTGATTACACTAAACAGTGACCAAGTGAGCGGCTCTATATATAGGGGCTCTCAGATATAGCGAAAGTCCTATCGAATATGGCGGACAGATTGTTTTTACGAAGCGTGTTCAGCTTTAAGTCATAATGTAGTTACTGTTCCTTAAGTCATAATGTAGTTACTGTTGATCTTTAAAAACTTTACACCGTATGTCCATTGTCATTTCAATCAAAAGCTATATAGAATGCTCACCTTCTCAGCAGCCTCTGGGTCTTCAAAGCTAACAAATCCAAATCCTCTTCCTTTTCCCGAAGAATCATCTGTCATGACCTGCAAATATGATAGGCATGCTTTAATACATGTCTGCTACAATAAAGGAAACAAATAGAATCATCTGATCATACACTGTTCCAGATACAATATGAAGTCAAGACCAGTCCTGCAGTTATGGTGTTCAAATTGTTGATGTCCCATCAAATTGCAAGAAGTGTATAACTATGGTGTCCCAATAGGGCCATTTGCAAAAGTGTAACAACGCTTTAGTAACAACGCGCTAGCGCGTTGATCATGACATGATGGTGCGCTGTCATTTTGCCCTAGCGCGTTATCACTTACAAAAGTGCAGCAATGTGTTAGTATCAACGCGCCGGTGTAACGACGAAAAGCAACGCCCGTAGAATATTGACCGGGGGTCATTTTTCTACGTAGAAATTTGACCCCCTGGTCAATATTCTACGTAGAAAAATGACCCACTTTTTGTAGAAATTATGGCCTGGGGGTCATTTTTCTCCTTGTTGGTTGTAGAAAAATGACCTCGTAGAATAATGACCCTGTGTTTTTTTAATACAAAAATCTGGTTTTGGTTTGAATATTCTTGTTAAGCAAATAGATAGGGGTAAAATCACGCAGCCTAAAAGCTTTAAAGTTTAAATAACAAAAAGTTATACTATACATAAACACAAATAATACAAGATGTTTTATCCTATTAAAGGAAAACAAATAACTAGACATTATGATGTTTGATGACTATAAGAGCAAAACTTACACGTGTTCTTAGATTTGTTTTATCACATTTTATAAAATAAGTTTCCAAAGTCGTCATTTAAAAAAAAAACAAGATTATTTACTTAGCTGCTGTCAGAAAGAGAAACTTATATATGAATAAAAAATGCATGGTTTCTGTGTAAAATTGTAATGATTGTCTTTAAAATTCACTCACGGTAAATAAAGTATCAAGCTTTTTTTCTTCATAAGTTACAAGAAGGATTCATGTTTTTGAACCCTACCCAAGTAAATTTGCGTGAAAAAAGGACAATTGTTAAGAAAATTAGATCTGGTATATATCTTTGATTTTCTAGTATAAAACTTCTGATAAAAATATAAGGAAGATCAAATTTGTGTAAAAATAACAGACAGGACTATATCAATATTCCTCTGATATTCGATCTCAGGGACACAGGCACTGGTTTCAGTAATAAATTTTGACCATAGTATAATAATAACACAAGGTATCCAACTCCGAATTACATGGAGTACCCCCCTCCCCCAGAATCGCACTCATTTACACTTTCAGAGGAAATGCACTGGCAAACATTTTATACCCATGTCATTTCTAAAGGTTTAATAATAAAATATAGTGAAAAAGGAGGGGGTCAGATTTCTATGGGGGGTCATTTTTCAACATGTGTGGAGCCGTAGAATTACCGGTCTGGAAGGGTTTTCTACAGTCGAAAAATGACCCTACTTGCGTAGAAAATTGACCGGGGGTCATTTTTCTACGGAGAAATTTGACCCCCCTGTCAATATTCTACGGGGGTCACTTTTCGTCGTTACACTGGCGCGAAGTGACAACGCCGGTGTGTTATTTCTAATGCATTGTTGTACTTTTGCAAGTGACAACGTGCTACCGCACGCCGTTGCACTAACACACAGCACGCCGTCACGCTAACGCAACTTTACACAACACGCCGTCGCGCTTACGCAAAACACGCCGACACGCTAACACAACTTAGCACGATGTATTGTTTGCTAGCGCGACGGTGTGTTGTGTAAAGTTGGGTGAGCGTGACGGCGTGTTGTGTGTTATTGTGACGGCATATTGTGTGTTAGCGCGACGGTGTGTTGTGTAAAGCTGCGTTAACTTGATGGCGTGTTATGTGTTAGAGCGACGGTGTGTTGTGAACAACGCTCTAGCGTCGTCACTTAAGGACGACGGACCTAATTTGAAATTTCGAGCCACTGCGCAGAAAACCGCGCATATGCCTTGAATCAAATTGACTTAATTATGTATTGCAAACGATAAAAAATATACATTTTTAATTCTTTTAAAGATATTCAAACGTTTCCTCTCAATTCGAAAATATTGTAAATATTTCGATTTATATTCATTTGTTAATTTTATAAATAAATGATTTATTTGGCCAACATATTTTCATTGAAAATTTCCCCCAAAATGTGCCCTACACCTGTGTTTGACATGCCCCTCTGAAAAATCTAAACCGAAGACTCATTTATTTTTTGGCATAATTTGGTGGTAAATTGTCTAGTTAACATTGTCCTTTAATGTATGAATAAAAATCCTATTTCAGATTTTTTTTTCAATGATCACTTTTATACCCTACACTGGCAATTTCCCATTACTTCCTATAGTAATTGTCGATTTCCATTGCCAAATTTTAAAACGCTTCCCATTAAAAATCTATATCGATGACCATATGATTTTTTTTTATTTGATTTTAACTTACCAAAAGTCACTTTACCTCTTATTAAAAGTTAAATAAAAAATCTATTGCCGAAATGAATCGGGTCCGTCGTCGTTAACGCTAGCGCTTTGTTCCTAACGCATTGTTACACTTTTGCAAATGGATATACCGGGACATCATACATAAATATTCTCATTCATTAACACACATACACACACACACACAATATTATAATAATGACAATTATACAATGCTACTTCGACACATACCAATCTATTTTTTTTTTATCAATTGCAATTAAAAAATGCACTTTTGTGAGTATGTTGTGTATAGGTGCTATTTGTGAAATGGTACAGGCTTATGACACTTTCAAATATCCAAAAATATTAAAGAGGTTTGTTCCTGATCTTTTGTGCAGATTTTTGTCTTGACCTATATTTAAAAAAAAATCTGCGTGATGTTTTTTGTTCTTATAATAAATTTGGATTCAACGATGCAAATGAAGCTATATTCAATTAAAACCCCATAGAAGAAAATGATCATTTTTTCTCTTTCGAAGTATTTACAGTATTGTTTTAAGTTTGGATTCCTATTTTTCCATGCAGCATGCACACATAGTTTTTGTGCAGCGAACTGTTGTATACTGGCCCTAAATTACATATCAAATTAATTGTCATGAATTCTATCATCATATTTGACAAATATAGCAAATATTGTGAGAGACTTAGAAAAAATAGCCCCAATTTAAGCTTAAAATAAACACTTTATTAGTAATCTCTAAAAATTAGCATCACAGACCCCTACTTTTAATTTTCTTTTTTGAATATATATGATAATTTTAACCATTTTGCTTAAATTCAGTAAAATGACATTACTTTCAAATGATTTCATTGCTTGTTAAATTTCTAACGCCAGATAAATGATCTTTTTTTGGGTGCAGAAAGGTCAAATAATTGACCTTGCAAAGTAATTTGAAACTTTTTTGTTGTCACGAATTTTAATGTGTCTATTCGCAAGGTATTTTGAAACTTTTTTGTTGTTACGAATTTTAATGTGTCTATTCAAGATGAAATGAGACTGTGTTTGTTCCTATAATTTACTTGAAAAAAATATAGGAGGAAAAACTGAGAAAAAATGATTTACGTGTTAGACTCAAAAACTGAGAAAAATTGATTTATGTGTTAGATGTACTTACAGTGCAAAAAGGTCATACTAAATGCTCCGTTAACCCCGATTTTGTATTTTGATGTTAATTGAGCTCAGTGAGTAGATTCTAGAAATATCCTTGATAAAAATTTCTCAATACTTTTGATAGCAGGATACAACCTCCTTAAATCTGTAGATGTAAAACTCATCTTAAATCAAACTACACTATAGTTTTCAGAGGCATTTGTGAGAATTCCTTTTATGATGCCGGTCCAGTAGTCCACTTTCTAGATTCACTTGAATATCCTACTAGATACTTCATTTATCCACCAACTAAATCTGTTTTATCACGTTTAAAATATTGTTATATGATAAAGTTTACCCGATATAATTATCCGTTTATGTTTCTTTCAAAAAATTGATATTTTTGATGTTTCAACGATTCAAAGTCTTAATTCCTCAATATGTATTTTTAATCGGCAAATAGAATTTTTAGGAAAGATTTTGCATTTGCATTGAATCAAATTTGATTTCTTGATAGTCAAAACTAAGCAAAGGGGAGTAAGATAATCGCAAACTCACTCAGATTGGTGAATTTAGATCTTAAATCTCGAAATCTCGTAATTTGAATTTCGTATTTCGAAACTAAAAAGAGCCTTCTGGACTTCCGTAGTATATTGTTGTAAATTCAGTATGAAAATAATGCCTAACAATTTGTATGAAATTCAGCCCACCCAGTTACTCTCCAACTAGGTTTTGTCATTAACTGTTTTATCACGCATTTTTGTGTGTGGGGTATAATCGTTTAGATGCTATTAAAATCGTCCACTTTAATTTCTTTGCAATGAAATAATATTTTTAATGTTTTGACAATTCCAACTTTAAATGTATGTATCTTAATCGGTGATTTAACTCGACATTGCTCTGCCGTGAACGCGCATGCGTGGATTAATAATGTCGGACTTCAAATTTGGCTCCGAAATTTGATAAATATATGTGTAATTACGGGTGGGATATGATTAGAAAGATGAGTGAAGACGAACTAAAGAATGCCTAAAGCCAAGAAGAAAAAGGAAACAAAGAAAAGGAAGAATCCAGATGGTAACATAAGTGGTGAAAGCGAGGAAAAAATTCATGTAAGTCACTCAAGCGTGCCGATACCAAGAAAAACAAATAGAACACCAGTTATAGCTCCCACAATGGATAACAGTGTATGGAATAGCAATAATGTAAGTAATAATTTAATGCCAATACAACAGTCTACACCAAGCTATCAGGGCTATCAGGGAATCCCCCAATTTATAACGTATTCTCCTCATGGGCCACAGGGGCCACACGGGCAATTTGTTGGCTATGTTTCCCCAACTACGAATAACATGGGAATGGGAAATGCGCGGCTAGTGCGAGGGGACCAGCACAGGGTGAATTGCAAGACGTAATGAAAACCCTTATGGAGAAATTAGATACAATGGACAGAAAGCTAGATGAGCTTACTATAATAGAGAACAGGCTAGATGATCTAGAAAAAAATGTGCAAACTATTAACGTAGAGTTAGACTGTGTGAAAGAATGAAAGTCAAGGTCAACGACCTAGAAAATGGATTGACCTTCATAGGAAAACTTAATGAGGATTGTCAACAAGAGGTAAATTTAATCAGGAAGTCAGTTAAAGAGATTCCAGCACTGGAAACAGAAGTCAGTTAATTAAGAGAACTCAGTTTAGATTTAAAAATGAGGTCAATGAGGGACAACTTGGTTTTTGACGGAATAAAGAAGAAGCAAAAGAAAACGCAGAAGAAGTAATTAAAGATTTCATAAAAAATGAACTAGAAATTATGTCAGACATTGTGTTCCACCGTGTCCATAGAATTGGTAGAAAATCATTATTTAAACATCGGCCAATAGTTGCGAAATTTGTTCGTTTCAAAGATCGAGAATGCGTCAGAAATTCCGCTCCGAACAAGTTACGAGATAAACCATATGGAGTAAATGAACAATTCCCGAGAGAAATTGCAGAAAGAAGGAAGTAACTTTACCCTCATTACAAGGAAGAAAAAAAACAAGGGAAAAAGGCCAAACTTGTGACGGATAAATTAATCATAGACGGGAAAAGAGTAGAAATTGCTTAAATACCAACCAAACTAGTGGTAGATAGGAAACGAGTAAAAGCAGAAGAAATCACCGCCTTTATCATGAAAGTGGGTGATAATACAGGAATTCAAATGGAAAGCACTAGCAGTATGTCAACCTATGGAAGAACACCATGATACAGAACTCAAGCTAATTTCAACGTCGTATCATCACCACCACAGTTAATGGATGGGCTAACCAGAGAAAACGTGCAAACAAACCCTAAAGTTGTTCCACTTGTACCATAGGCAATGGAGAGGCTTACTGAAGGAAACGGCTATTAGGATCACCATGGAGAGCAGTCTACAATCCATCTAACAACCAGAACAAGCAAGAATATCTCTCTCGAAAAGGAAAAGAAACTTAAAATAATCAGTCTAAATGTGTGTGGGCTTCCTTCAAAATTACAGGATGAGGAATTTACAAATTTCATTAATGAATATAATATCATATGTCTTTTGGAAACTAAAACAGATAGTGCAGATTTAATTAATTTAGAAAATTATAAAGCTTTTAGTAAACATAGATCTGTGTTATCATTTCGAAAATCAGGTGGATTAGTTATTTATGTCCAAAATAATTATGCACCCAATGTATCCATTATTGAAAATGAATGTGTCCAAATCTTATGGTTAAAAATTAATGAAAGTTCATTGGGAATTGATAAACATGTTGTAATTGGAAATGTTTACGTACTCCCTGTAATTCGCGTTTTTCATCAACAACAATTTTGGAGGAAATTGAAAAAGAAGTCATTATGATGTCAACTGAATATAACTGTGTATGTATATTAGGTGATTTTAATAGTAGAACGTCCATCGAGAAAGACTATATTTCTTTTACTGAAAATGATTTAACTGCATTAGAAAGAGACATAATACTAGAAGGAAGTCAAGATGTGTTTAATTTAGAAAAGTATGGTTTTTCAATAGAAAGAAAATCAAAAGATAAAACAATTAATCAATATGGAAGAAAACTCATTGATATATGTAAAAATTGTAATTTTTATATCTTGAATGGTAGAACAAAAGGGGATATTAATGGAGAATTAACTTGTAAGCAGACTAGTGTTGTAGATTATTGTATAGCCAACATAAATCTTTTAAAGTATGTACAAGATATGCAAGTATTACTATTTTCCTCTTTTTTTATCTGATATTCATAGCCCTATTTTGTTGTGTCTATCATTTGGAAATTTTCTTTGTTCAAACAATAGATCGCCATTTAAAGAACAAGATTTTAAAATTGTACGAAAGTGGAACAATGAAGGCTTATTATCTTATAAACATTCGGTAGATTTAAAGTCAGACAAAATTCTACAATTAGAATGTGAAATAGAAAATTGTAAAACAGAAAATGCATCACAGGAATTTATTGATTTAATAGTTAGTCAAACTTGTGAAATCTTAGTGGAAAGTGCTAGAGAAACTTTTGGTACTCAAAGAGTTGTTGTGAATACAAGTATAAGAAAGAAACACTGTGGTTTTAAGAAACCATGGTTTACAACTGAATGTAAAGTTGCAAGGCAAAACTATTTAAGAGCAAAAAGGATGTATAAAAAATATGGAAGTTGTATATTTGAAAGCAATCTGTATGAACTTGAGAAAAAGTCATATAAACTTAAGTGCAAGAAATAAACACAGATCGGAAATGACTAAAAAATTGAATTTTTTACGCACAACAAATCCTAAAGAATATTGGAAAATTCTAAATACTAATAAGAGAACCAAAATGTAATGCTGACATTCAGGATCTTTTTAATTTTTACAAGGAATATGGTAATCTAACTTCAGATAATTAAAGCGATTATGTATTAACAGAGGAAGATCTTTAAACTCTCTCAAATGTAGAATTAAATCATGATATAAATCAACCTTTTACATATGAAGAGGTATCTAAATGTATATGCATGCTTAAAAATAATAAAGCTTGTGGTGAAGATAAAATATTTAATGAATATATTAAAAATACCACAGAAAGCGTACTTAAACTATATGTATGTTTATTTAACAAAATTTTTGAGTCCGGTATATTCCCATCGCAATGATTGGTTGGTAATATAATACCCGTATATAAAAATAAGGGTGACAGTACTGATCCGAAGAAATATAGGCCAATTACCTTAATTAGTTGTCTGGTTAAATTGTTTACTTCTGTTTGAATGAAAGAATAAGTGAATATACAGAAAACATTTCCCTTATATAGGAAAATCAAGCTGGTTTCCGCAAATATTTTTCCACTCAGGATCATATATATTCTTTATATTCTATTATAGAAATTTACAAATCATTGAAGAAGAGATTATATTGTGTATTTATTGACTTTGAAAAGGCTTTTGATTCTGTCTGGCATATAGGCCTATGGAACAAGATTTTGTTGAATAATATAGATGGAAAGTGTTTTAGAATAATTAAAAATATGTACAAAAATATTAAGTCCAAAATATTTTGTAATGGACAAAGCTCTGATTTTTCCCTTGTACTGTTGGAGTAAGACAGGGGGGAAATCTTTCAGCCATTCTTTTTTCACTATATCTCAATGATTTAGAAGAATTTCTTGTTGTAAATGATGTTAATTGTTTAATTATCAACATTATCAGATAAAACAGAAAAGAGTATTAGCTTATATATGAAACTGTATGTCTTGTTATATGCAGATGATACTATTTTGCTCACAGAAGTCCAACATGACTTTCAGCATCAATTAGATATTTTTTTCTAAATATTCTGAAAAATGGCATTTAAAGGTGAATATTAACAAAACTAAAATTATTATTTTTGGCAGAGGTAAAGTGAATCACAATATAGTTTTTAGATATAATGACGTACCATAGGAAATTGTTAGCGAGTACCGATATATTGGTGTTACATTTTGTAAAAGTGTGTCATTTAATTTGAATATAAAAGAGTAGTATGTCAAAGCAACAAGAGCAATGTATGGAGTAATTAGCAAATGTAGAAGACAAAATTTATCTATGAAATGCAAGCTTGACCTCTTTGATAAAGTTGTTAAACCAATTTTGTTATACAATTGTGAAGTATGGAGTTTTAATAAGTAGTTGTTAATTGAAAAACTACATCTTAAATTTTGTAAACATATCTTAAATGTGAAGTCATCAACTCCTAACTCAATGGTATACGGTGAACTGGGAAGATATCCATTGTTAATTAATATTAAAGTTAGAATGATTACTTTTTGGGCTAAGTTGATTGCATCAAACAATTCAAAAATATCTTCAAAACTCCTGACATTAAATATGAATCAAAATGAAACACCATGGTGTAAATTTGTACAACAAATTTTAAATGAATGTGGTTTATCATATATGTGGAAATGTAATACGATTAATGTAAAGTGGTTAAAAAGTAAAGTATATCATACTCTTATAGATCAATTTAAACAATCATGGTATAGTGAAATGTCCAATTCACCAAAAGCACTTAATTATTGGTTATTTCAGAGTACATTATCCTTTGAGAAATATTTTGACATTTTACCAGTGAAATTTCTGAGAATTTTTTGCAATTTTAGAACTGGTAACGCTAGGCTCCCTATTGAAACAGAGAGCTGGCACGGTATATCTAGAGAATCAAGACTATGTTATCTAGTATGTAACTGTAAAGAAATTGGTGATGAGTTTCATTATTTATTCAATTGTACTGACGCAATATTAAAAACAAGCAAGGTCATTATATTTATCTAATTATTATTCTGTGAATCCAAATGTATACAAATTTGAGAATCTGTTTCAAATTACAAAAAAAGAAACAGTTGATAAAGCTATGTAAATTTATAGAAAAGATTATCGAGAGAGTTCGCTCTCCTGATTAATTTTGCCACGCGATGCGCATTGTCATTTATATTTGTTTTAATTATTGTTCTCTACAAACTGTAACCAGTTTTATGAGAATAAAGTCATTGTCATTGTCGTCATAGGTGTCAATTTTAGTCAAGTGAGAAGGCGAGAAAACACACATCAAAGGGATTATTCATTGCATCAATTAATTAAACTAATAAGTTAGCAGTTTGGTGTTAACTGAATTATTAACAGTAAGTATGCCGTACTTTGCGGCTTTTTGATGCACAAAAAGGGATGTTAAAAGAGCGTCACAAGGATTCTTGGTGGGTGGAAAAGCTTAACCTATATAAATCCTCGGTATACAAAGGGAAAATAGTTAAGCGTTGATTATATAGTAACAAAGTGACAGGAAGCATAATAATACATTATAAAGCTTCCAGGACGCTTTTATACTATTTTATTATCAGCCCACTTACTTTGGCACAGATGATCTTGCCATAAGGTTCAAACATTTCCCTAAGTTTTTCATCATCAATTTCTTCACTGAAATTTTTCACATAGACATTGTTGAACTTATGCATCTTGTCTTCAAGCACTTCAAGCCTTTCCCGCCTGCTCATGAATCGGCCTACAAATCTACAAGGTACAATTTGAATATGATAAATTTTTTTGAAAAATAATTAATCTATTGATTAATTGTCCATTAAGGTAAAATCACTTAAGTCACATTTCTTTTCTGACAAATGAACATAAAAGGGCAATTAATTAACTGACAATTCATGATTTCAACAATTTTTCATTAAAGTGTTTTTAAGATCACTGTAAATTACAAATTGTAGCCCTGTTAGTCCTCCTGTAGGTTAAAAACTTAAGGTTAAAAGGTTAAAAAACTGTATTTATGATACCTATCATACCAATTGTAGCCACACTCATGTCTTGGGGCCATTATTTGGCAAATTTGAATTTAACTTACACAAAATGCTTGCCTTTTAATTTTACTATTCATGATCCTGCTAATTTTGAGAAAACCTTTCAAAATTTTTCTTTAAAAATATTTCCTATATACTTTAAAAAAAAAAATTGTATGATAAATTTACGGAAGCCGGTTGGTGCCAGGTGGAAAAATATTTTCTGGCGGCCACCAAATAATTATCTTGTGGCCGCAAGTTGTTTATGTGACGACCGGCTAAACTATTTGTTTGGCAGGCGCCAGAAACTTATTTGGTGGCCACCAGATAGAATATTTTTCTTCCACGCACCTACCGCATTAACTTTATTCGAAATTACTTATTTCATCATATCACAACAAAATGAAACTACGACACTGTCTTTTCTTCATTTTCGGTTTACATATAAAATGTGAAATTTAATTAGCACTGGTTTTTGAAGTTTGTTTCTTTATTGTCTAACGTTTCTCTCAAGAATTTTTCACTCATATGGAGACGCCACTACTTGCCGGTGGAGGGCTGCAAATTTATACCTATACTCGGTAATCAGGGCCATTGAGCATTGATTGATCTTTTTCGTGCCATCACCTTCTGCGACACGGAACCTTGGTTGATACGGTGTCATCCGAAGGACGTACCAGTCTTCACGTTCCGCAGTGGATTCGAACCCGCGACGTAAGGATCAGTTCATTACTCCGCCATTTTTAGAGCAGACGCTCTAGCCATTGCGCCACGCGGGCGACGGTTTTTGAAGTAATATAAGTTATATTTGATTGGTATATTTGCAATGCTTAGAGAACTTATATAAGTTCAATTAGTTCATAAATATTTCCAAGGTAAGATACTAGTAATCTGCGATTCGATATTTACTAGTATTTATAGTTTTATATACTATCCATACACAATGATGAGTTCCATAACGTTTGGTGAAAACTTTTATTTATCTAAATAAAGTCAAAAGTAAGCTTTTTAAGAAAATTATGAAGCTTTAAACCTTTAGTAATTTTTATTTTGCATTAAACATGTCAAAGTTAAGATTGCTCTGTCTATTCGCCCAAGGTCCTCAACGGTCACCTGAGTATAACACTGTAAAGAATCAATAGAAATATAAAGCAAATGCCCACTGCCACAATTAAGTTCACAAAGAGAAATTTTAAATGCCTGTATATTTACTCGAGGTGATGCCTCTTGGCTACACAAAGTTAACAACTTAGCTGCTTTCCACTTGATAATACTTGGTACCAACACTTGCATCTTGGGTATTTAGAAAACTTGGTAATACTTGTTACCAGCACTCACCACTTGCCTATATACAACACGGCTGTTTGCCACTTGTCACAAACTATAACACATCTGCTATTCACCATGACTCTCTGTGATCACTTGGTTATTTTGATAAAGTATAAAATAACTTTATGTAGGTTTTTACCAACTAATATATGGTTTCCATGACTTTATTTGTCAATAAGTACATCACAGCATACACATACTTTGTGCATTCGCTATATAGCTGTATAAATATTCTTAATGTCAATCTTTTATATTGCTTTACAAAAATCCGACTTTGAGCAATGCTTTGCTCATTTAAATCAAACAATCATTTTTATTTTGTTTCTATATATATATATATATATATATATATATATATATATATATATATATATATATATATATATATATATATATATATATATATATATATATATCATTTTTTTCTTTTATTCTCATTCAATCAAATAACTTGTTAATTCAATTATATAAAAGGATTTCTTGATAAATACAATTAGGCAAAGGGGAGTAACTCTCATTTGCTTCACTTATTACAATTTTGAATTCTGTTTGCCTCCTAGACACCAAGGAGCAGAGAAAAAGTACATTTGTTTATATTTATACATTTTCATCTATAATACACTTACATATATATTATTGCATCTAGTTTGTTTGCTTAATACTCAGGGGCAAAAAAGAAGATTTTCAAAGCGATTATGCATGTTTACTATATAACCAACAGAGTCCCCCGCGCAAACACCAGAACCTCTGACCCAGGGGCGATGAAATTCAGAATTTTGGCAGATACATCCTTGATTATCATAACTATGCATTTTGTTTGTTTGCTTAATATCCAGGAGCAGAGAAAAAGGTTGTTTGATAAATAATGCATTTTCACTACATATTCAACAGAGCCCCGCCCTAGCACCAAGACCCCTGACCCTGGGGCCATGAATTTCACAATTTCAGCAGAGGGCTTAATGTTTATTACAATTATGCCAATAGTTTGACTTCTTGATGTTCAGAAGTATATAAGAAGATTTTTTAAAGATTGCATTAAGTTTGATTGTTTTAGACCAACCACTCAGACATCCCATGGGGTCGGGGGGGGGGGGGGGGGCAGGGGTCATGAATTTCACAAATTTTGTTTCCCTTTACCCATAAATGCTATATGTCAACATTGGTTGAAATGTTGAAATTGGTTCAATGGTTCCAGAGAAGAAGCTGAAAATGTTCAAAAGTTCACGACCGACGGACGAAGACTTACAAAAACAGATAGCAATAGGTCACCTGATTGACTCAAGTGACCCCAAAAAAGAATAAGATTAAACAATAAAATCAAAATCTTAATTGTCCGGTGCTCGTAATTTTTCCTTATACAATATAAAATCTTAAACTACCTCACAAATTCAGACAAAAATGCTAGCTGTCACCATCCTTTATCTTTTTTCCATATATGGAACATTTATCAAAGTAATTTTTATCAAAACGTTATTTTTATGCTCTTATTTAATAAACTCCTTCTCAACAGTACTTACACCTTCTTTCCATTCAGCAACATGCCATTCACCTTCTCAATGGCACTCCTAGCAGCTTCTTCAGTCTCAAAGTTTACAAAGGCATACCCTTTTGATCCATGTTCATCACAAACAATCTAAAAGGCAATTGTAATATAATAAAAAATAGTTAAAGTAAAACGTATTTTATTTTGGCATAATTTCAGACTATACATTAAGACAGAATCTTAACTTCTTTCCCATTGCCAAAACACACACACACACACACACACACACACACACTGGATGCTGCCACAAGACAGTGAAACCACCAATTAAGTATCTGTCTCTTAATGCAAGCTACCGCCATATTACACGTTGTGCATAGGTGGCGAAAAACCATAATAGTTAATCTATAATTTAAATGAATTATGCATACATGTATCACATTGAGGATAAAACGCATAAAAGATTATGGCTCGTGGGCCTCTTATGTTAGTTTTTCAAATGAAAAATTCATAACCTGTCTGAAATAAAAATTGTAGTGAAGTAAATCTGATTCTAAGAGAATAAGTATTGGAAAGAATGGTTTTCTGTAATAAAAAAAGACGAAGAAATTGGGCAAAAACTGGATCTTGATATTGCTGTTTAACCAAATAATATTTTTCAGTGCATGATAATTTTTATGAATAGAATATTTTTGACGCCGAACTGACAATTTTTTCGAAAATGAATTATTAAAACTTGCATCAGTATATGTTGGGGGTGCGGGCTGGGGGGAGGCTTTCCATACTCACCCGGGTGACCGCCAATATATACCTTCATTTCTAATTCATTATTTCTAAAAGACCCATTACCCTTATATAAATATTTACGAGAACATTTAGGAACAAGACAACCCCTAAAATCTTTAAAACGTTTAAATCTCAGATCCTGAAGTCACGTCATCACCGAAAATTATCCAACTAAGTTCAAATAATTATTTATCATAATAAATAATCATATCATCAAAATTTGCAAGAATATTGACCAAGCCTTCAAATGAATTATCTCGTTTTTCGACCCTAATTTGGTCGACAGGGTGAAAATGAAATTCTAAAACATTAAAACATTAATACACAACTTCAGGACAACATCAATTAAATTCTCAAAAAAAAAAACGATTTGGCTACTGGATAAAAAGTATTAGAAGCTACTTAAATTGTAAGAGGAGTTTGAGAAAAGCGGACCAGGATAACGACAATTTATTCCAGCTCCCTGAAGAGTGTTCGGGTATGAAAATTCATAAAAAGCTGCAATCTAGTATTATCACATACCTTACAAGACAGAATATTGCCAAATACAGAAAATGATTCATAGAGAGCTTTGTTATCGATACTCCTGTCCAGATTTTTGATGAAGACATTGCAAACACCAGATTTTCTATGGGATGGATGAGGCTGGGACCACATGATCCTGATGGACCGTCCCTTGATGGTGTCGAAGTTCATGGTAGTTAAAGCTCTCTCGGCTATAATTAAACCATACACATGAAATTACCTTTCATAAAAAGTCCGTCATTTCCCCCCCCCCCCCCTCAACTTGTGCTAAATCTCCAATTTGGTATAACAGCATGACTTACCGTTTTGTAGTTAGATATGGAATTTATTTCACAAGTGGGACAGGATTTTTTTTTACATTTTCACGAGTGCGAAGCACGAGTGAATTAAAGTATGAGCTAATTAAAGTATGAAAAATTCAATCATATGTTGTGGCGTCATAGTATAGCAGTTGTGAGACGTCATAACTAAGCAATTTTAAGATTGAAAAGTGTTTTATAAGCATTGATTCATTACTTTTTGAAAGGTGTAGTCTTATAACTATAACAGTGCAAACAAATTGTGTAACGCGCTAACGATTCAATAGATAGATAGATAGATAGATAGATAGAAAATAGATAGATAGATAGATAGATAGATAGATAGATAGATATTTCAGAGATGACTTTAATTCTTGAGAATTCATGAGGACATGAACTACAACGCTTCACGCCGGCATAGCGCTTCATGATGAATATGCAGGCGTGAAGCGTTCTGGTTCATGTACCTCATGAATTCTCAAAAATTAAATTCATCTCTTACATTAACATTATCTTCTGATAACTTGCCACATATTTTTGTCATTCAACGATCATTTTTTATAAGAAAAAGTTGGCACTATTTTTTTTACTTCCGTCACATCACAATGGAAATATTCTTATTCATCCCACGGAAGTGAGGATGAACTTTTTCTAATTTGAAAAGATTCTCAAGGAAAAATATTTGGAAATATCTATCTATCTATCTATCTATCTATCTATCTATCTATCTATCTATCTACATTGTTTATATACAATTAAAATTAAAATTAGGCTTCTTAGATCCGCTCAGTATATTCTGCGTAAGCAAAGAGAAATAAATAAAATTTTAAAGAAAGGATAGTTTAGAGAGCTTAGCCATCCCCCATATCTGCTAGATCTCAGCCATTGTGAAATGTTTTTCTTTCAAAAACACATGAAAGCAATCAAAGGAAGACTTAAAAATTTCAGGTATATCATGGAAAGTGCCATTCATCAGTGGCTTTAGGGCATCCGTAAAGATGAGTATGCTGAGGTTTTTCTGGTCATGGGTACAAAGACTTTAGAATGTGTAAATGTTAACAGGGAATGCTTTGAGAGATAGAAAGTATTTAGAATCGTGATTTTCCAATTATGAGATGACATTTGGAATTATTTATTGAGCGACCTTCGTAATTACATGGATATTAACGACAATTTGGAAAAAAAAAACTTAATCATTTTTGATCTGTGTTAGGAAAGTTAATTCACGCTCACTAGCTTATAAGAGGGAACATTTTCTTTTTAACACTCTTCCAGAAGGGAGTTTTTTGTCGCATCTTTAAAAAAACTGACTTTTGGCATTTGACATGAAAAATATCACCTTCAAATATATCACTTTATTCAATGGATAAAGCTCAGTGCGTCATTGTTGAAAATACAACAAAAATTATTTTTGTGAATGACCTACCATCAGCAGGTTGTTGAAAGTTGACGTAAGCATACCCCAGGGATCGTCTCGTGATCATGTCTCTGCAAACACGAATGCTAAGGACAGGACCAGCCGTACAGAACTTTTCAAACAACATAGCTTCGGTGACGTCTGGGTGAAGGTCCCCAACGTACAAGGAAGTCATTGGGTAACTGGGACCAACTGGGTTCATACTTGTAGATTTTTTAGGGTTTCCAGAAATTTTGTCGCTCTCTCTCAAAGAAGATTGGACCTTTGCTTTGAGTTCAGCTGGGGGCTCGATTTGTTCTTTGCGATCAGTATTCTGCACCTTTCCAATAAATTTGATGCCATCTAAATCCTGTGTTTCCTGAAAGAAAAGATCTCAGTAATAAAAACACAATGTTGTTTATGCATTATTTGGTAAAGAATAGAAAAACTTATAGAATGGTGGGGATGTGAGAACCAAGATTTGGTTAATCTTTTATAAAGCAATGTTCTTATATTAGATATAATACATAAGTATGAATCGTGTGAATCTTTACCATTTGTGTTAGTTTAAGAATCAATGTCATCTATTACCGGACAAAAGAAAGCATACACATTTTTTTTCCATTTCTAACATTTTTCTTCATTTGCTACTGGTATTTTTAAATGTAAGGAAAGTTTACGCACGTCATAGAATGCTCGTATTTAAGAACTGCTGTTAAGAGCAATCAAGGATGATAAAGCCTTAAATAAATATTCATTCCAGGAAACTTCTTTCTGTTCTACAAGTAAATTTTCACCCAATATTATATTCCTTTGATAGAAACCACTTTGTGTACATAACTAGAAACAGGACTTCAAGCTACGAATGTGTTTTAAACATATTCAAAATGCACTCAATTATCTCCTCGCAACGGAGTTGAATATAGTAACGCGCTGACTGAGTGTGTTGGTGTGTTAGTTTGTCTTTGTGCGCGAAACGGAAGTGATTTGCACCGGGAAGGAATGTTGCCTTGATTTATATATAAGGATATTTTTATTTTATTCGTTTACTGTGTGAACGTCTCATATTCCAATCACAGAAATGAAATTGAACGAGGGGATAATAAAATATAACATACAGTATTCTGCTTTTCCAAGTGTAAATACTGAGTTGGGTGCAATGGGGTTCGAATTTTTAGAAACATATTAACTTTTTCGTTCACTGCAGCAAGGAAAAAGTTGTAGTTAAACAAAAATTGCCGCAAAATATGTCACTTGCATTCAGTTACAACTCAGACATTATTCATAATAATTGCTGCTCAAATAAGTTTACACTGATTAATAATTCAAACTGTAGCAACGGTTCACATACCTTATAACATGGAACATACAACTCAACATGCTCAATATTCAAAACTAGTGTCAACTTCTTTACTTAGAAATATAAAAGTATTCTCCAAGGAAAATATATACAGTAAAATTGTGTTTCCCTTGCAAAAAAAATATTATACCCTCGCCCTCGCAAGAAGTTGGAGAGGATATAGTAACGTGTGTGTATGTGTGTGGGGAGGGGGTTGGGTGAGGGAGGGTGAGTGTGCCTGCGTAACACAAGTTATTAGGCAAGTAATAATTTATATCAGGACCGATATGCTCTTTTGCGAGGGAATGCTGCGCTTTGCGGTGCCCTTGGATTTTTTTTTAACCTGTCAATATTATTTTTTTTATTTTCCTTTCTCGAAGATGAAACAAATCTCATATTTTAAGCATTTTTTTTAAACAGATTCTTACATTTATAGTAGCTTGATTATTGTCCCTGTCTACTTCTTGATGTTCTTTGGCCTCGTCGGATATTTTATCATTGGCCTTTCTTGAAATGAATATTTCCCTTTCAATGATGTTGTGATGATTGTGCCTCTTAGCTGTAATACATTTGTTGCAAGCTGGAGCATCACAATCTATACAGTGGAAAGAACAACACTGATTGGAATGGACAGGACAAAATGGCTCCAGGGTTGTTGAAAATTTCATAGAGTATTTTACAACATTGTGTTTCCAGGATGGCAAAGATAGCATGTGTTTGCCGACACAGTCACTGCACAAGTTTAATTCACATGTTTTGCAGAACATCTCTACCCTTTTTGAACAAACAGAACATTCGATCAACACCTGGGCAAACCCAATGTCTATGTTTTCACCAGTTGCCATTTTCGTTACAACAGATTATCTGTAAAAGGCAATGTATTCAATAATTAAATTTTATAAAATAGAATTAAGTATTCTACATTTGTATGGCTTTTTTTGTTTACAAACCTTTTTGATATACCATAGATCAATTTCTGTTTCCTTTTTATTCCGTTCGCCTAAATGTAATCCGTTGTTTGCTTTTATTGCTTTTTTTATCTACTGAAAGATTATTCAAGGCTTGGAGTAATTTATGAAGTGGAGTGGAGTCGGAGTCAGTAAGTGTTGGAGTGGCATATTTGAAAAGAAAAATATGTAATAAATGTATTGTTTGACTTTCTATCAGTGTATCCCGTGAAAAAATCAAATTAGTGAAAAGGGTGAAGATAACGAAAAGCAAACAATCTCATAAATTCAATACACAAAACAAATCGTGAAAGGGAAAACACGAACCCCTAGAAATACCAGAATAGCAGGTATTCCAGCTATAATACACCTGAATAACAAAACTGTCAATGAAATGCGGTGCAATAAAAATAAAATGATGAAATATGTATCCATTAGAAAGACTGACTTCTAATACCGGTATTGCAATTCATAAGATTGACCTCATTCTTGTTGTCTGTGACAGAAAAATGTCCTTCACCTAATGATGATTGAGCTTTAGAATCTATATGAAACAGGTGTCTAAAAAGAGTTGCTTTCTATAGCTAGTTGCATTGGAGTACCGTTGGAATACAGATGTTATTGTTTTATTTTATGAAGCAGTAGTGACTCTACTCCACTCCGCTCCCTTCATTTTCCCAAGTCCTTGATTTAAATGTTTCCTTATTCAAAACGAAAGTAAACATTTAAAGGAATGTTACAATGCACAGTAACTTATGTCATTGATCAAGGTTAAGATAATAAACAGTTTTCAATCTCATATATTGTGTAAAAGATAAGTCGAGAACGGGGCAGTCAAACAAAGAACTCTGAAATATCATGTAGTACAGAGATGGGATCAAGAACTTGGGAGAAGAAAGCATGCCTGTCAACCATTAAAGATGTATTCTGCAGATGTAACTTGAATTACTTTTCAAATTTGGCATTTTGATTTTACGTATTCATAATTTGAAACAAATATGAAAGGGGAAAATATGAGTTAGTGGGCATATTTTTGAGATATAAGGTGTTGGATTTTTTATAGACAATCAGCAAAATTTATTTCTCTGAAAACTTCTGATCAGGAATTAAAATATTTCTTCATATTTTAGAAGAATTTAGAAGAGCGTCAAAACTACAGATAATCAAAATAATAATATATGATTAAGAGTAAGCGGAAAAATAATGTGCTTATTTTTATGGAACTATGTGAACTTTGGAGATAACGAACAGCATTCAAGCTCAAAGTCCATTAAAACAATACAAATTAATCGGGAGCACAGCAAACACGGACCTCCAAAAACACCAGAGGTGGGATCAGGTGCCATGGAGGAGTAAGCATTCTCTGCCGACCAGTCACACCCGCCGTGTGCTCCTTGTCATGATCGGGAAAAAAAGGAAAAATTAGTAGATAAATCAGTGTATAAATAATGGCCTAACGATGAGTATGAAAAATGTCAGTCAGCGTTTGACTTAATGATAGGTTTTATTTGCTGACAAGGTCATTGTATCGACCGTAAAATTTGCAAAATGAGGATCGACTTCAAACGAGACTGTTAATATCCTTGTTTCATCAACTTGTCAATAGCTTGCCTCGTTTTAGAAATTGCTCATATATAGAGCATGCTCTTGCGCATCGAATCAACTGGGAAACAAAAACCCCATATGCAGGTGATAAGGACATATTGCTACATTAGTAAGAGAAGTTGACGATTGAAAAATTGAAGTCATCACGGATATATCGTGTCGACTTATGAATGGAAGTCACTATTGTCAATTGATAATACGTCGTCGATATATCTAAATGTCGAGTTGAAAGCCAAAGTAAGTGTTTTCTTCTTCTCATGTAGAAGTTTTTGAATAATTTCTGTTTCATACAAATCGTATACGATACCAATATGAATACAAAAATAGGTCTGCTAATAAGGGGGCGCAATTGGTACCCATGGAAATTATAACAGATTGTGGAAGACCTGATCTCTAAAAACTACATACAAATACATATTGTCAATCAGAAACTCAAGCATATTTTTAATATCAACTTAGAGTACGTACTTGTGTGTACAATCAGAATGTTTTTTTTTTTTTTAAAAAAAACAATTTTGCAAATGACCATTGACAAAGTAAGTGAATTTACGAGTTCCAATTCTATTGAAAAAGCAGCTGTTTATGATGTCAATAAGCCTGGATTTTAATTCATCTTGCAGAATGGTTGTATAAAGTGTTGAAATGTCGTACGTTTTGATGTTATTGACTTTGGTAAAATTTTGTGATTTCAAATATTCTAAAAGTTCCTTTGAATTTTTAAGTATCCATATAAAATCAAAGGAGTTCCAAAAATATGCCTGACACCTCAGCATATCAGCAGAATACATCCAAATACAGCAGTGAACCCTCTTTTGATTGGGTAAACAGAGTACTCCTTGACACATGCTGGTCAAATTCAACAGACAGAAAAGGATTCATAACTTATGAATATCATGTACTTGCCACATACCCCGTGTCAATAAAGATGGAAGTTGGGGTACATAAATGTGGAAGATTCACCTCCACATTTGCACACTTCATGGCGCAATACAGGACAATTATATAATATCCTATCAATTATGTCCATTTTATTCAGTTGTAATCTTGAGTAAAATTATCCTTACTTAAACATCAGAATAAAAAAGAAAACAATCAAAACTCTCAAGAACATCATTCTTTCCTTCAATAATTAAATAAATTCCTATAAAATTTTCCTGTACATTTTATGCTGACGTTAATTGATTATAGGACTGAACTTTTACAATGATACTAAAAGTTACCTAAAAGTTACATTGCTGATGTACATGTAGAGTTATGTATTCAAATGGTAAAATACATGATAACCTTGCTATATATTCAGGATAAAAATACAGCCCCATGCAAGGAGAAAGGCTAATTGTCTCTTTATTCATTTTACAGAACACATGCAATATGCAGTCTATTAAAACAAAGTTCCAATTGAGAAAAAAGAATACTAAAAATATACCACTCATTTTACTTGAGATAACCAGAACATTCTAAATTGAAGAACAATATTGATGATTAAAAAAATATTTAAAACCTTCCATTTTTAAAATTAAGTATATTTTCCACACGTAATTTTTGCCCTGGTTTTAAGCAATTACAATCGTCATTAGCATTGAGCTTTCTATTGGTACAGTTTGTAGGTGATGCCCGGCTGATGCAGATCTATTTATAATACTCTACTTTCATATATTTTTCATATACGGTTTGTTATGATTCAAAATTCAATCTGTTTTACCAGGTCGGCAGCGAGTAACAAAAAAATAATCCCTAGAAGTTAGCAGCCAATAAGAAATCAAGGGACAAATTAAATAAGTCATTTCATTATTCGTTTTTATAGCACTAAAGAATAATTAAAAGGAACTAATGACTCGATTTAGTCTGTCCTCCATGATTTTTCCACATTTTACCATCGTTATATGTATATATGTATTTATCTTTTTCCCCTTCTTTTTTGTCCTCTTTCACTTTCATTTTCTGAATAAGTATATTATATACTTGTACCTCTGACCTGAATTTTATATGCTGTAATATTTTTCGTTGTCCTCATGTATCATATACTTACATGGTTTTGAGTGAATAAATGAACTTGAACTTGATTAATTATGAATTAAGATTTTCATACGCAAAAAGCCTGCCAAGACTTTTCAAATTTCATCATACAACTGCTTAATACTCGTCTTATGCCATTAAAAGTTTAAACTTAGGGGGGCCTCCGTGTGATTCTGATCTTTGAAAGTCCCCTGACCTAAAAAGTATTTGTGGATGAGAACAAAACAATCACTGCAAATGATAAGCGACCTCAAGGGTATCCCGTATCAAAACACAGTCTCCAGGGTAAGTATTGGCAAAATGTTGCTTCAACTTGCCTGAGATTTGTAATTCTTTTATTCATTCTGTCGTGTTGCATAAGGTGTAATGAAGCCCTTAGGACTCTAACTTTACAAGACCAAAAGGACTGGTTGCACATATTCAGGCTTCTTTTTTTACCAGTAGATCATGTAGACAAAAACTAACTAAACAATAAACATACTGGACCTCAAGGGATTCCTCACCTCACCCACTGTAAGGGACTGTATATGCAAAGCGCTCCTTCTTACTTGCCTGATGTTATTTCATATTAAATCATTAGATATAGAAAACGCTACCTGTGACTCTAATTTTTAAAGGAAAACTTGGAGAAAACATAGGTAAAGGATACCTATAACAATCATTTTTCGTCCACCCTTACGGTGCGCATTCTTCAGTTGAGAAAACTCTGTGGACAAGAACTAATCTATCACTGGACATGGTAGCGATCTCAGTGAGAATCCAATGTCACCCTCTCCGTGGATCTGTAATAGCACAGTAACCCTGCGAACTTTTGGACTATGCAATGTTTCAACGGTTTGTGTCACGCGGTGCATAATCTAAGTTTCATCCTGTTGTAATTGACGGGAATATTCGAGCCCTGTCTATCGTAAATTTTCAAGTTTCCACGTTTTCAAGTTATTTGTAGTTTCAGTTTAATAGGATATTCAACGGTGTCACGTAGCGGATTTTTCTACAGTTCTTCTGAACCAGAACAATATCAGTACACTTCCTTCTCTATCCGGTTCCGTCGCCTGTAGAGCACCCTTGGGCTGCATATTTTAGAACCCACCATAACGCTGCATCAAAACGAGCAATATGGTGTATGCTTAGGGTAGAAGGTAGGTCATTCCCCAACATCCAATTGCGACCTTATTCGATGGAAGAGACTTTTCAAGGTAAAAAGTCCTCAGGAA